TAAACCCTAAAGGTCTAGAATAGGAAGCCTTTGAAGGAAGCCTCTGCTGGCGGGAGCCATGGTTTAAGGTTTGGGTGGTTGTCAAAACTAGGGTCCCTGTTTGGGTAGGGTTTAGGGTTTAGGGTTTAGGGTTTAGGGTTTAGGGTTTAGGGTACCCTAAATAATAAGTGCCGTATTATAAGAAAGTAAAAGCCAGAAAGTTGGAATATGATTATCCTAAACCCTTTATGGTAAAATATAGGGTATCCTACCCTGAAACCATATTCCAACTTTCTGGAGTTCCCTGTAGGGGCCCCAAAAGGGACCATGACTTTGACAACCGCCCGTTTGGGGTTTAGCTCAGAGTGCACGGGTTTGGGTTTAGCGCTTTAGTAAATTTAGCGTTTCTGGTATTCCTGCAGCGGTTTCGGAGTTTAGGGTTTACTCCTAGTCTCCATTGTAGTTCCTTTTTGGGGGTTAACTTTTTATATACAAAGGATCCTATAAGGTAACCAAAACAAGGAACTGCAATGGATACCATAGGTAGTGTGGGATCCAGGCCGCACAGGAGTCGCTGGCAGCCGCCCGCAGCATCGACGATGCGGATGCGGTGGGCGTAAGAAGGGATTAAGCAGGGCTTTGCAAGGGCTTAGTGAGGGCTTCATAAGAACGCATGGGCGATGGTGTCAGTTGTGTTTTATGTTTTCAGGGTTATTTAGCCGTTTTGAAGAATCCCAAACAGAATCGCTGTGATATCTAGGATACTCTCAAACTTAGGGGCACGTGGTTCGGACTTGAGTTGCTTGTTCAGTGTTTGAACAGTTGTGGCTCGTAAGATTGTATAACAGGGTATCCCAACGTCCTAAACCCAACACCCTAAACCCTAAGCCCTAAGCCCGAAGCCCGAAGCCTTAGTACATGTGTCCTCCAAGCCCTAAACCCAACACCCTAAACCCTAACCCCTAAACTGCCGAGAGCGCCGCTGACCATTTGCATGGGCGCTCGAGGCTCCGACTGAGGCCGCCGGCCGAGCGTCTCGACAGGACGGTGAGGGAGGGCAAAACCTCCCGGTACACGGGGACGGAAGTGACTCGGCCACGCCTCACACAATACGGACGTGAGTCCGTTTTGTTGCGCACCCCACCGCTCTTGCCGAATACAGTGCTTTTTTGGGGGGGTTCTGGGGGGTACCCCAGGGGTGTCTGGCGCCCCAAAACGCTCTGACCTGCCCTCCGCCCTGCCAGTCTGACCCGTCCCTGCCCTGCCGTCCTGCCCTGCGCTGCCCTGCCCTATTCTCCAGCATACCTTGAAGCTTTTCTGCTTAGGTGCCTCTTCATGTGTGCAGTGGTTTGGGGTTTACAGCATCGGGGTGGGATGTCGGTTGTTTCGGTGCTTTTTAAACTTATGGCAGAAGCCAGGTGTTGCAAGTCTGGATTTCGACCGACTTCGCTAGTGAAAGCATTATTAGAATGAGCTTATAATGTACCCCTACAAGCCCTGGTCTCATTATGCAATGCCTTATACCAAGCAACATCATATCCCAAAAAGTATACCTTTTTCAACCTTGAAGAGGTCCCTACTAATGTAGGGGCCTTAATAGTTACCTAAACTATTTGGTTTTCGTATGATATACCACAAAACCCCATTCTGATTATCAATGCCCTTGTAGTAATCACCCTAAACCCGAAAGCCTGCAGGTCGTTGACAGCCTGCGGCTGGTTGCAAAGGCATATTGCCTGCAGGCGAGCCTTGTCCTGTGGGCTCAGTTTAAGTTTCCGGGTGTAGGAGTTTAGGTTTTAGGCTTTACCAGGATAGCGGGGCCCTTATGGTCCTTCATAGTGGGTACTTAACCCTAAGGCTCCATGTGCCCATATAGCAAATACTTAGGCCTTAAAGTACCTATATAGGGACCCCTTTAAGGCTTAAGTATCTACTATAAAGCTACATGGAGCCTTTGGGTAAGGTATATTAGAGGGTTGTTCGGGCTTAGGCTTTGGGGGCCTTGAGGGCTACGGTGTACGATGTCGGGTCATTCAGGGGCCGGGTAAACTACTTAAGGGATCATGGGACTTAGTAACTAGGGCTCCTTAAAGGGCTCCTAAAAAGGGATCTATAGGGGTTCCTTAAAGGGATCTCTAGGGTTTAGGGTTTAGGGTCTACTTAAAGGATCATGGGACTTAGTAACTAGGGTTATAATTAGGGTTACGTCTACTTATAGCTACTTATAACCCCAAGTAATTAGGGTACTTCTAACCTTACTAAGTCCCACGATCCTCCAAGTATGCCAGTCTGCCCCGACTGTCTACACTCCATGCCAACTGCGCCAATTGTTTGACACAGTTTCTTGTGAGCACCTCCTGGAACAGAACATTTCAGCAATGTCTACTACTTGGAGGAAGATGGGACTTAGTAATTAAGGTTATAAGTACCTTAATTGGGCTACTGTAGCGCTGAGCCCCCAAACCTCGAACACTAAAGCCTGAACCAGATTGGACCCTAAACCCTAAACCCTAAACCCCTAAACCCTAAACCAGAACCGAAACTCAGACCTCGGTCTCCTTGAAGTACTTCCAAACTTTCACACCCCGCGCCCTCACAGCCTTAAGGCTAAAATGGAGACCGCCGACTGCTAATAGCCATTTCCAGATTAGGATCCTATTGTACCCACCCTCATCAAGCGACGGCGGTATAAAACTTGGGTCTACGCTGTTGTTCCTAAGTTCGAGAAATTGTCGCACCTGGATTCTACATGGATGCTTTGTCAAAAGGGTTGGCTGGTGCCTTGTTTAAAGGCTTCAATGTCATCGAGATGCCACTGCGATTGAAGGTCTATCCCGGAACCCTAAACCCTAAACCCTAAACCCTAAACCCTAAACTATCCCCCTCAGGCCTGAGGGTTCTCCCCCTGAGAGCCCTCAGGGTCCCACCGCCCAAATAGTGCGGTCGTAGGCACAAAATCCCATACGCCGACTGGCTTTTGCTAACCCAAACAACTGATTCTTTCAGTGCTTAGACTCTTAGGGTTAACGCTCGGACTCGAAACCATGAACCTCAACCCTAAAAATCGGACACTTAGCCATGCCAGGCACACTTTGCAGAAGATCAGAGCTCTAGTGAGAGCGAAAGAATCTTGTGGCTTGGTACATGTGCGGTTTCTGGCATATCCCGGCGTTTCGGGGTTGAGGGAGCTAAGCTTTGGGACTTTAGGGCCTCACGACGTCGAGAGTTTGGGCTTGAGGTTTTGAAGGCGTTAGGGTTTATGGGTTTGAAGTTGTCTACCAGGTTCAAGTAGGAGTCTGTGTACGGTATGTAACCCCAAGATGTATGAAGTGTATGCAAGGTTTTCGCAGTTGAAGTCGCGAGACGTTTGCCCATAAAGGGAACTCCAGAAAGTTGGAATATGGATTAATGGTAGGATACCCCATAAATTACCATAGAGGGGTCACGATAATCATATTCCAACTTTCTGGCTTTTACTGTAGCGTGCCAGCAAACGAGCTGAGCCATGGTCCTGTGTGCTGTGCACAGAGGGTCATGCGGATGCTGCGAAGAGCATGGAAACTTGCACATGCGACTCCGATAGACTGTGGAGAGAGAGAGAGAGAGAGAGAGAGAGAGAGACAACTCAAAACCAACAAGCCTCATCTAGTTTGCTTTGACTGCCTAAAGATCCATCTAGTTTGGAAGCCTAAAGATCTGAGTATCAGAGTCCTTTTACTTGCATAGTTCGGTTTGAAAGCCCAAAGGTCTGAATATGGGGTCCTCTCATAGAGCCTCGTGGTCATACCAGAGCACCCCTGAACCCTGAGCCCGAAACCCTCCCAGAACCTTTACTTGGAGGATCACGGGACTTAGTAACTAAGGTGAAAAGAACCTTGGGTTATAAGTAGTTAGAAGTAGAGTTACCGGAACATAAACCCAGTTACTTAGTCAGATGAAGTATATGGAGCACTCATAACGACCCTCTGTAGAAACACGCATAGGCACGCTGCTAGAACCGTTGTTGAAACCTTATAAAGGAACCCTGAGACCCAGGCCCAAAACCCCATGCTCCCAGAGTCCCTCTCCCTGGCCCTCAACCTTAAAGCCTGCAACCTGAAGCGCTGTAAAGCCTTAAGCCCTTCCTGTAGCCGGAAAGACCTACCTTTTTAGGGTTCCTTATTTTCTACTATTTGCTTAAGAACCCCCCCAAAAAATAAAGAAACTAATAATCCCTATGTTATCCCTGTAAGGAATATATTTTTTATTTTTTGGGGGGGTTCTTAAGCAAATCGTAGTTTTGGTTTCTTTATATAGTTCCTGAAAAAGGTAGGTCCTTTCGGCTACAGGTAAGCCCTGAAAGAACCCTTCTAGCAGCCTTAGAGGATCCGTGAGACCTGCAGCTAACCCTACTTCGTGGATCATGGGACTTAGCAAGTAAGGTTATAAGTACCTAATTGGGGTTATAAGTAGTTATAAGTATAGGTACCCTAAAAATGACCCTAGTTACTAAGTCCCATGATCCTTTAAGTAGACCCTAAACCCTAAACCCTAGAGATCCCTTTAAGGAACCCCTATAGATCCCTTTTTAGGAACCCTTTAAGGAGCCCTAGTTACTAAGTCCCATGATCCTAACCCTAAATTGAGGACCACCGCAGAGCGTTTTAAGTAACCCCAAAACCACTCTTATTATAGAACCCTGTTGAGTTCCCCTAGCCTAACCATGGCAGGGTTGTAGCTTCATGAATCCACATCTGAGTATCTGAAGCCTTGAAGGCTAAAGCGGAGCTGAGCTCCACAATCCGGCATGACATGCGCACTCGCCACGACTGGCAGAAGCATAGCATGTATAGACACTTGCCACGACTGGCAGAAGCACAGCATGTATAGACATGTGCCATGATCGGCAGATGTGTAGTGCTTACAGAAGCTTGCATCTGTTTTGTGCGTTGTGAAAATTCGAGTTCCTGCCAGCGTAAGCCCATGGTTGAATTCCTCCTGCGGTATTGATCCTCGGACTACTGCATCTCTACGAGATATCCATGGCTACTGGTTTGGAAGGGCAGGATGCCCTGAACCCCAACGAGATGAACGATGATTTTCAGGTTATGAGTCGCCCAAACGCTGCTCAAGCGCCCGCTGCATTTGATGAGCGAGCGGGGCGGGCCACCATGATGAATGGTGTTTCTGCTCCAAGTGGTGATGGACCTCGTCTGTCGAACGTCTTGGACCTAGATGGAGAAACGAGGCCTGATGATCGGGCCATGGGGCAACAGCAGCCGTCTCAAGCGAGCCAGAGACCAGACCTGCCAATGAGCTCTGGAGAAGAAACTGCGAGGACCTTTCTACTCGGCCCAGGTGGAGAGGCTAGAGCTTCTAGTGAAGTTCCAGCACCTCCGCCTTCACCGAAACCGAAGAGGGGCCCAGCGGCCCTTTTGGGTGGAATGGCAAAGGCGGTGCAATCACTGCCTGCAGCAGTGGAAGGACTCGTGATGGGTCAAGGGTCTCAGGCTACGACTCGGCAGACGGCAAGATCAACAGATGTTGAGGGGTACGCGTCAGCTCAGTCTGGTAGCCCAGAATATGTGCGAAGGCAGACGGCGGACGCTCCGCCTCCTGCCACTCCGCTCCTGGACGAAAGGACCCTGAGAAGGTTGAACGAGATGCCTGGTGCAGCGCCACATTTGTATCAACCTGAACAGCCTACGTCTGGACTGAAGCCTCCTTCAACTACATCTAGTGATATTCAGAATGAGGTACGAAGACAACTGCAGGAGTTTATGTCCATGAGGGATGAGGAGACGAGAACTCTGAGAACTCAGGTAGAGCTTCTAGTGTCTGAGAATCAGATGCTTCAGAGAGAACGAGCCGAATTAAGTGCACAGGTGTATGGTAGGGAGTACGTAACGCGAACAGATGCTCCGGGATTCTTCCAGGGTTTGGGTTGGTTGGGACGAGGATTCGGGAGTCTAATAAGTGCCTCCAATTCTCCGAAGCCACCAGCACCACCGAGGGCCCTGGACTTTCGCCCACCACCTCCACCTGAGGCCCCTACCAGCGTGAGGCCTGGTCTTGGCTCAGCTTTGGAACATTTCCAAGGCACTCTGCCTGATGTCACTTCCTCAGAATTGCCTAGGCCCACTGTCGGCCCTGATCCTCCTCAGATGCCCTCTGGATTTGGGTGTTCTTCGTCGTCACTGAATAATCTCGGGCTGCCTAGGACCCTGAACTTTGAAGCAGCAGCAACCCCGAAGGCTCCGGTTGTAGTAGAGGAAGATATTCCCCCAGCGTCTGCGAGCCCTCAGGATCCGATGAATGTGGTACTTACGGGCATGGCACAACTCCAGGGTGTTATCGCAGACCTCGCAACAAGCCCGAAGACCGCCGATCGTCCTGAAGTGATTAAACCAGGAGTTGCCGCGCTCCCAGATCTTCCGCTAGCAGGCCCAGAAGCGTGCTTGGCTTTCAGTGACTGGTTGCACAGCACCCGTCCTGCCCTGGCGGATGTGTCCGACAGTAGTGAGCAGCTGTGGCAAGCGGTTCTAGATGAGTCCAGTGCCTGGTACGCACAGTACCTAAAGCTAGATGCGATCACAAGGTTGACTGACAAACCGACGCCGTCGGCTACGATAACGCAGCCTAAGTGGGCTCGGGTTTCCAGGAGGATTGAGGGTATGCTTTTAGCAGCCGCACCCACGTCTGTGCGCGAAGAAATAAGCTCAGCTAGAGTCAGTGGACTTCTGCAAGTGGTGTGCCGGTTATATACCATATATGCTCCGGGCGGACTATCGGAGCGTGAAATAGGACTGCGACAGATACAGGACCCAAGCCAAGGCACGTCAGTGCGAGACACAGTGGAACTCCTGAGGCGCTGGAAGCGCTGGTGTTCCCGTATGAGCGAACTGGGTGGGACATTGCCCGACTGTTCCCTCCAGTTAAAAGCGCTTGAGAAGATGTCTCGCACAGCGCTTCAAGCGCACCCGGACATAGCTTTCCGAGTCAATCTGACGAGGGCAGCTCTTCAAGTCGACACCAACCCGGACGACTTGAAGATCGGCCAACTGCATGCCCAGATCCTTGCAGAACTAGAGGCACTGGGTCATAGGACCTCTAAGGATGATAAGGCCAAGGATTCCCAGACCGGAACCCCGCCTAAGATCAAGGGAGTTGAGCAGACGGAGACTCCTCCTAAGAACCCTAAACCCAAGCTAAACCCTAAGCCGCCGAATGGACCCAAGAACCCAGGAGCTACTGAAGGTGGACCTGCATCTGGGATACCTTGCACCTTTTATGCTAGCCCTAACGGTTGCAAGAAAGGGGCGGATTGTGGGTTCGTGCACAACTGGATGGCAATCCCAGCTGCTGAGAGACCCCAACGTTGCCGTAACTGTGGGGCGCGAGGTCATCGGTCAGGGGATTGTAAGGCAGGGATGAAGGCAGAGGAAAAGGCTAAGTTCAAGTCACCGCCGGCACCGAAACCTCACAATCCAAAGGCCAGTGAAGGGGGACCGCAACCGCAACCGAGTCCAAAGGCTGCCAAAGATTTGTCGCAGCAGCAAATCAAGACGATGCTAGCAGATGCAGCGGCCATCCTCCAGCAGGCCTCACCGGCGGGTAATGGTCAGCAGACACCTGTGATGGCGGTGCCAATCAGCCCTTGTCCTCAGGCTCCCTCCAGCACAGGAGGAGCTCCCACGTCACCTACTGCACAAGCCTCTCCGGCAAATCCGGTCCAGGGAACGCCCATCACCCTAGCTGCCTTGAATGCACAGATTGAGAGCCTCAGGTCTTTGGCTAGAGACTATGAAGTAAAGATGATAGCTATAGGGCATGAGGCAAATAAAGCGATGGCCAAAGATGATGTACACGTGAAGGCGCTTCTTGACAGTGGAGCTACGCATGCTGTCGTTCCGTTCCGGAATGGTATGACTGGCCTAGAAAGGGTGCCTGTCACTCTCGCAGGTGATCAGCGTGAGGAGTGGTTCAAGACGGATGGAGGGACGCTGGTCGTCCCACCCTCACCCGGAGGTCAAGGCCAGGACACCAGCCTCCAAACTATCCTTCCTTTAGGGGGTTTAGTCCAGACCTTGGGTTGCAAGGTGTCTTGGAGTAAAAGAAAGGGGTTGAAAGTAGTTCATCCTACGCTCGGACCTCTTAAAACAGGCATCTCTAAGAATAGCTGTCCATATGTGCAAGAGGACCAAGCTTTGACCTTGATAGGAGAACTTGAATCCGCTCGGCTGCAAGACTTTGAGCAGAGTGTTCAGGCTATGGAAGCTGAACTCCACCAGATGGCATCGCCGTGTGACCCCACAACTGCGTTGAAGGGGTTCATAGACTCAGGGAGTAGACGTGATCTCCTCAAGGCGGTTTTCTCGCAGCCCTATCTTGCTGATGTTCCAGAAGCCACAAAGGTCAGCCTGTGCGAGGAATTACCTGGGTTAGATGATCAACATGGCTGGAAACTGATGAAATCCCTCCCCTTGCCCAGAGCGAAGCGCCGAGCCCTTCACGAATCCAAGCGATGGGTTGTCCACCTGGGTTCTGGACCCCATCAGCCGCAGGATCCGATCCGCCAGTGGTGCGAGGAAAATCACTTGCATTACTTTCCAGTAGATGTGCTAGCACCTGGAGGAAAGGGGTGGGATCTTACGGTTCCAAAGGGAGTGTGGTCAGTGTTGTTGTGGGGTGCAGCGAAGGGACGAGTAGCTACAGTGCTGTCCTCCCCTCCGCACAAAACATGGCGCCACATAGAGGAGCGACCAAGCTTGCGCACCCCCCAGAACCTGTGGGGTAATGGGGAGCAGGACGTTGATATTTCCAAAGAAAACATAATGGCAGTGCAGGATATGTTCTTATGGTCTTTGGCGTCGGTAGCAAAGGGAGTCGCAATACCGTTTTTGAAAGAGCTTCCTTCGGCAGGAAGACGTGGTCTTCCAATGTCACAGGTCTCCCCGCAGTCGTTCTGGGAGACCGACTCCTGGAAAGCGTTTGAGCAGTGGGCGAGGATTGCTACTCTGGACATATGCCAGGGGTCTTTGGGACACAGCTGGCTAGCTCCAATCACCATCGGAACAAACCTGAGCCTGACCCATCTGCCAGGACTTCCTCGCCAAGGGCAGCCAACCCCAGTGATAAGTAATGCCAAGGTACGTCATGCAAGATGGTCCGTTGGGTTAAAGAAGGAGGTAGTAGAGGCTTTGGCGGGAAAGGTAAAGGGACCCACTCTGGAAGAGTTAGACGCTGCCATTACTAGAGCTCAGGATGAGAATCGTATTAGCTCACAGAGTAGCTCGCAGGGTACCACATCCGATCCCGAGATGCCAGCCGCACCTTCAAAGCCCAGTGGAGATGTGTACCAGGATACGTCTGAGCCTGGAGAAGTAGAGATTAGTGCCTTGACAACTGCCCAACGGGAAGAGTGGAGGTCCCATATCCTCAGAGGGCACATCCCGTATAGAAGGGACTGTAAGTTTTGTGTTGAGGGGTCTGGTTTAGGGCCCCAGCACAGGAAAATAAAACATCCGCAAGCGTACAGTTTGTCTGTTGACTTATTTGGTCCAATGACAGGACCAGAGAAGGGTCGTGATGAGCAATCAGTGTCAGCGAACCCACACTTGAGATTTGGGTTAGTCGGTGTGTTTAGGCTGCCGAAGTCTAGTGTGGAGACGCATCTTCCTCCACAAGGGTCTGTCGAGCCCTGCCAGAAGCCTGAGGAGCAGCAACCACATGCTACTGCCTTGCCAGAGGAAGATGAGTTAGCAGAATATGAACCGTCTCTTCCCAGTGATCCGGAAGACTGGGATCCACTTGCTGACTTTGACTCAGGTGCAAAGGCTATCAAGGTAGGTGAGAAAGATGGTCATCCTAATGAAGAAGGGGAGCCACCGGCCGAGGCTCAGGAGGAGGATTGGTTGCGAGACGTGGAATTGGATGAGCAGTTGACAGACCTGACTTCAGGTGTTGAGTTGGTGTCGCTGAGGTTCATGGTTGGACTCAAGACCAAGTCTGGTCCTGATGTGACTACGGGAGTCCAGAAAATGATTCTGGAGATCTCACGTATGTATCCCGTGAGAGTGCTGCATTGCGACCCGGGTACCGAATTCGGGTCAGACCGGCTGTCTTCTTGGTTGGCACAACAAGGAGTCCGGCTGCAAACGACCGTGCCGACTGACAAGCAAGCTAATGGCGTAGCTGAGCGGGGCGTTGGGTGGCTAAAGGCCCGAGCACGGACTTTGCTCTCAGCCACTGGACTTGCCGCGGCGTACTGGCCCTTAGCAATGCGCTACGCTGCAGAGTCACACAATCGGCAAGTCCTGAAGCGCCCACCGCTACCAGCTTTCGGGCAATCGGTACTCCACAAATTGAAAAAACCCTCGGGAGCCCATAAAGAGTTAATGGTGAGGTGGATAACGGCTTCGTATGCCGCTCCCCATTTGACCATCCCAGAAGGTCATGTCCTAGTTACTGCAGAAGGGAACCTAGTAGCATCAAAGGGCTTCCGGACCCATCTAGTTGATACAAGCCAAGAAGAGGGCCTAGACCTTCCATTGCTGTATGGTGAGGAGGAGTCTGCAATGCCACAAGGGAAGGTTCCAAGTGAAGGTTCTCCAGGTGCAGAAGAGGCAGGACCTGCGCTTCCTAGCCCCAGCAGGAGACTAAGGGATAAGACTTCGGTAAGATTCCTTGAAGTTGAAGAAGATGTTGAGAGGGATCCAGAGGCCTTAGCAAAAGGGGCGAACCTTGATCAGGACTTCACCGAAGTAACTTTCCGGAAAATAATGAGTGTTATAGAGCAGTTGGATTCCTCTTCTGATGATCGGAGAGGAGAATTCCAAGCCAGGTATGTGTTTGGAGCCTTCTGCCATGGAGGTCAGCGAGGAGTTACCTCCATAACACGGAAATATCCGGCAGTGACGAAGTTCTTGAATGGGTTTCTCAAGGCTAGGCTCTCCCCAGACAACACTAAGGCTGAAGCGTCGTGTGCATCCTTCCTGGTAATGCATGCATCTGAGGTCGCGGTCCACCGAGATTACCGCAACGAATGGGGAACTAAGAACTTGATCGTTCATATTCCAGGAGAACTAGAGTTATGGTCCAATCCCCATCCGCCAAGGAAGAAACCTGCAGAACAGGTCCAGCCTAGATGGGATTCGGAAGAGGTACGGTCATTGGGGCGCCGGGCCGTTGTGTTTGATGCACGACATCATCATGCCCTACGTCGCATCCCGGATTGGGTTCTAGTGGGATATACCCCCTTAGGAGTCCACAAACTCCAGCCGGAGGATAAAGAGTATCTGACCTCATCCGGCTTTGTGCTTCCAGACCTTCCATTCCTCACGCCAGAAGTGAAGGCATTAAGGTTTAGTCCTGATTGCATCACCCCAAGGGGAAATGAAGCGTCCTCCTCAAGTAGCCATGAATACAGGGCAGGGGGGTCACAGCCTGCCAGCTCGGCTAGTAGAAACCCTAGGTTCCCAACCGTGAACTTAGAGGAAGATATCCAAGAGGACTCGCACACCATCCCGATTGGATGGGACCCTACCGGAGAAACAGGACCCAACATGCCTCAAGAAAACTTGGAGGAGATGGATTTATACGAGTTTTTGGAAGATCGCGAGGTTGAGTGGACCATGAAACGATTGACCTTCATGGGAGTTGAATCTCTAGCAGACCTAGCATATCTGTACGTTGAAGATTTAGTGGAGCTAGGCTTGCCTCTTGAAGATGCACGACGAATTATGACAGGGATCCACCCCACTGGAACTGTAAGGCCTGATAATCCCAATATGATTTCCCTCACCACTGGAGAGGTTTGTCTGTTCGATCGAGGACAACGGCAGATTCCGCGGGTGATCCAAAACCGCACTTTGGGATACCATGCTCCAGGACCTCCGGTTCTAGGGCTGGGAATCAATACTCAAGCTGCACCTGATGATCCGATCCCATACCTTGAAGACTGGCAAGAGCTGAACGGGTATCGTCAACCCGAGCCAGTCTTGCCACCAGAACGCGACCCAGTGGATCTGACCGGTCCAAGGGATGAGCGAGAAGAACCTCCGGAGGTCTCTGCTGTCCTTCATGTTGACGGAAACCTAGCTTCCCAGTGGGTTCCATCTTCTAGTTCAGGTTCCTTGCAAGGCTCGGTGACTGGACTAGCGTCGCAGCACGTCACGGCTTTTGACAGTAATGCCTACTCTATGCACTCCATGTGGATGCAATCCATTTGGGATGCTCAGTCCCAGGAGGAGTTTGATGCTCTAGTTGATTGGCAACCGCCACGGCAGCAAGGAGCAGCTCCACCAGGGAACGAAACGACTGTTGACCAGGTAGATGAGTACCGCTGCAACATGCTGCAACATGTAGATTGGGAGCCGAAGCCCCCGCTGAGTAGAAATTCGCGACGTACAGGTGAGCTGCCATCACTTGACTCACCTTCCCTAGCCACTCCCGTCCCAGAGATAGGGGTATCTATTCCATCCACGGTTTCGGCCCTGGTTTCCATGGATCCACCTCCTCGATCAGCAGAACTGGATGTGGAGGATCCTAGGATAAGCAAAGTAGAAGAAACTTCTTACACAAAGGACATTGAGTCGCTCCTAGAGAAGTTGACAGGCCCTCTCGAGGTGATACACCAAGTCTCCCCTGGTGACGTTCGTAATAACCCAGACAAGTGGACCAAGCCAGCACAGGATGAAGTAGGTTCCTTAGAAGGGATGGGAGCAATCGTTAGGCATAGAGGAAGGCAAGCGCGAGAACTTCTTCAGCAACCTAACACTGAGGTGCTGCCGGCTAAAGGAGTATTCACGATCAAACCAGGATCTCCGTATCGACGTAAAGTCAGGATAGTTTCTTGCGGAAACTACGCTAAGGAGGTGTCGGAGGAGGTTTTGTACGCCTCCGGTGCAGCGGCGGAGTCGCTGCGCATCCTGTTGATACTGGCAGGAAGGCGACGAAGATCATGTTGGAGCACCGACATAAAATGCGCTTTTCTTCTGGCACCAATTCCAAGCACAGTGAAGAAAAAATATGTGTTAAAACCACCATCTATTTTGATCGCACCGGGCATATGCTCAGAGGATGAGTACTGGGAAGTATGCCGCGCAGTGTATGGTTTCAAAGAGTCACCGAAGTGGTGGTCACAATTTCGTGATCAACAGCTTTCGCAGGCACAGTTTGAGACACCACAAGGAGGTGCCCGACTGATACAGACCACTTGTGATGAAAATCTTTGGAAGATTGTGGGTCAAGATGGAGTTACACTAGGACACGTTCTAGTGTACGTTGATGATCTTTTGATTTTGAGCTCTGTAGGTGTAGCAGCCGCATTCCACCAATGGATTAGGGATAGATGGGATTGTTCCGATCTGGAACGGGCGACCCAGCATAAGGCCCTAAGGTTTCTTGGAATAGACATCTTCGAGGTGCTTGATGAACATGGTGTTTGCGGATACACCATATCCCAGGAGAGCTACATTGACGAGCTTGTCAGGACCCATGATCTGGGTTCCGCGTCAAGGTCCACAGTCCCGGTACCAAAGGACTGGGTGAAAGACCAGCCACCGGAGGAGCGTGGCTTCGCAACCCAGACGCTCAGAGAAGCACAAAGGATCACCGGGGAGTTACTTTGGGTTTCGCAAAGGACCAGAGTAGATATATGCTTCAGTGTAGGCTTGATGTCCAGCTGGGCAGTTCGCTCACCATCCTTCGTGGTGAAGCTGGGCCTTCGAGTACTGGGTTACTTATCCAACACTAAGGCGTTGAGATTGTCTATGGTTCCCAACGGAGCGGGCTCTTTGGCGATCTTCACAGATGCGTCCTTTGCACCTTATAGTGAGCGATCAATATCAGGGATTGCAGTGTTGCTAGATGGGAGGTGTGTTCATTGGAAATCTCGCAAGCAGACCCTGATAAGCTTGAGCACGGCGGAGTGCGAGCTGATTGCAGCAACTGAAGGTGTAGTTTTGGGACAGTCAGTAGAAGCGCTGGTGGACGAGCTTTGGGACAGTCCGGTTTCAAAGGTGTTACATGTAGATAACATGGCTGCAATCACCTTAGCCGAGGGTGGTGGGTCGCAGAGAACAAGGCACTTAAGGGTGAGGGCAGGTTACCTGAGAGAGCAACTGGATAGGAATAAGCTCCAGATTACACACTGTCCAGGAGAAATCCAACTTGCAGACGCCTTGACCAAGGCTTTACCCGCGCCCCGCCTTAATGATCTTAGTGAGATGTTGGGTTTAGGCCTTCCACCATCTGCAGATCCGGCGGTGCAAGCTGTGATGACCACTGCCCGTGCCTTCAATCACCTTGATCCGACAGAGGGGCAAAGTGTCCTTCTGATCTTGGCATTGATGATGACTCAAGTGGTGCCAGCAGCATCCCAAGATGATGAGGAGGTCGAGGGCGTGAGTCTAGATCTTTACTTTGTGGCGGCAATGCTAGCGTGCACGGTGCTGTTCATATGGGAACTAGGAAAACACTGCCTAAGAGAGCTGTGGCAGGCCAAGCCTAGAGATCACACTGTGGCAACCGTGCGTGCAACAGATGATGAAAGCAGCCACCGCAGGCAAAGAAGGCAGGAGGCAGTAAGACGGATTATAGAAAGGGAGGCAGCTGACCAGCTCTCTCAAGGACCTGAAGCAACCCCTCCGATTGAGGAGGAGACTGTTCCACCACCACCTCCCACGTATAACCCCAGTGCCTCAGCCCATGTTCATGTACATCTGCCGTTAGCCTCCACTCCCTCAGCAGCAGGAGGAGAGAGTTCATCATCCTTTCAGCCTAGCGCTTCCATTTCCTCTGATGGACTTTCCGCACTTGGACTTGCGACCCGTACTAAGGCTCCGAGTCCTCCTCCCTTACCACCTCAAAGGTCTGATGAGAGAAGGGTTGAAACTGAGGGATCTCGGAGAGTCTGTTCGCGTGATGTCGGAGTCCAGACTAATAGTCTGACTGGTCTGACGAATGAGCAACTTAGTGAAGTCGAATTCATTACGAGTAGCGCCAGGACCCCTGGGGTCCTTCACATATTCCCCGATTGCCAAGCACTGCGGTCGGTGTCTAGTACTCACCGTAGGATGCTCTGCCGTTACTGTCTGATGAATATGCGGCAACGGGGACTCGGGTAGTGAGAGATCACTCTGAAGGAGTAGACCTCTCAAGGAGGAGTGTTGAGTTCCCCTAGCCTAACCATGGCAGGGTTGTAGCTTCATGAATCCACATCTGAGTATCTGAAGCCTTGAAGGCTAAAGCGGAGCTGAGCTCCACAATCCGGCATGACATGCGCACTCGCCACGACTGGCAGAAGCATAGCATGTATAGACACTTGCCACGACTGGCAGAAGCACAGCATGTATAGACATGTGCCATGATCGGCAGATGTGTAGTGCTTACAGAAGCTTGCATCTGTTTTGTGCGTTGTGAAAATTCGAGTTCCTGCCAGCGTAAGCCCATGGTTGAATTCCTCCTGCGGTATTGATCCTCGGACTACTGCATCTCTACGAGATATCCATGGCTACTGGTTTGGAAGGGCAGGATGCCCTGAACCCCAACGAGATGAACGATGATTTTCAAACCCTTATAGATCCCTTTTACGGGACCCTTTAAGGAACCCTAAAAATAATCCTAGTTACGTAAATTGAGGACAAAATAGCCCTAGTTACTAAGTCCCATGATCCTGGAAGAAGACCCTAAACCCTAAACCCTAGAGATCCCTTTAAGGAACCCCTATAGAATCCCTATTAAGGAACCCTTTAAGGAACCCCTATAGATCTGAGGACCAGCGCAGAGCGTTTGGTGGAGGGTGAGGCCTCGAGCTTTCACGGCCGAGGATTGCCTCGAGGCTCTTTACTAGACCGGTTTAGGGTTTAATGTAGGAACCTGATTAAGAAACCCAAGGCATATATATACATATATATATATATATATATACTATTTAGGTGCATGGACCCTTAGGGTTTGGGGCTCTGGGGGTTTAGGGATTTAGAGGTTTGATGTAGCAACCTGATTAAGAAACCTTGGGCCTGTGTTAGGGTTCTATAAGGGAGGGTACCATAAGGGGTCATGGGACTTAGTAACTAGGGCTCCTTAAAGGGTTCCCAAAAGGGATCTATAGGGGGTTCCTTACAGGGATCTCTAGGGTTTAGGGTTTAGGTTTAGGGTCTACTTAAAGGATCATGGGACTTAGTAACTAGGGCTATAATTAGGGTATCTATGCTTATAACTACTTTTAACCCCAAGTAAGGTACTTATAACCTTACTTACTACTAAGTCCCATGATCCTCCAAGTAGACCTCATATGAGGCCGAAAGGGGTTTTAGCCAGTGGGGGTTTAGTATTGATTAGGGTTCCCATAATGGGGTTCATAATTTAGGAATCCCTATCCCAAGAATCTTACACCCCCCTTTTGGCATCCCATCACAGACCGGTTCAGGGCTTAGTGGGTTGAGGCTTTCGGGTCTATCGCTTAGGGTTGGAGGGCTCCGCAAGGGTTTTGCTCCGGGACCTTATAGGAATCTAGAGTTGCCTCCAGGATTTCACTACATTCTATTGGGGCTTAGGGTTCCTTGAAGGGTTCTAAAGCGGACGTTATAACATAGAGGCCCGAGTAGTTACCAGTACTATTTTGGGGGCTCCTCATTGTTACATTCATAGCACAAATATCTCCCAAAACCAAATTCTGATTCTTAAGGCCCCTATATTAGAGGTAGCACAATATGTCCCCGAAACCTACTCTGATTCTTAAGGCCCCCGTATATTAGAGGTCGGGAGCTTGGAGCTTTCATTACTAGGAGAAGCCTACTTAAAGGATCATGGGACTTAGTAAGTAAGGTTATAAGTACCTTAATGGGGTTTATAAGTAGTTGTATATTCTGTACAGTTACCCTAATTATAGCCCTAGTTACTAAGCCCCATGATCCTTTAAGTAACCCCAAAACCCCTCTTATAGATCCCTTTTTAGGAACCCTTTAAGGAACCCTAGTTACTAAGCCCCATGATCGATTTAAGTAGCCTTGAAAGAATCCCTTAGAAGCCTCAGAGGAACCGTAAGACCTGCAGCTAAACCCTAAACCCTAAACCCTAGAGACCCCTTTAAGGAACACCTTTTTAGGAACCCGTTAAGGAACCCTAATTACTAAGCCCCATGATCCCTTACAGTAGAAGCCAGAAAGTTGGAATATCATTATCGTAACCCCTTTAAGGTAAATTATAGGGGATCCTACCATTAATCCATATTCCAACTTTCTGCCTTTTACCTTAAGTAGGAGAAGCCCAGTGTCCTGTAGGGCAGGCTGCTCAGGAGACTCCCGGCTCCCTGCTTTGTTTGCTTCGGTTTCAGGGTTCAGGCAAAGGGTTAGGGTTTAGGGTTCAGGGTTTGGGGGTTTTGGGTTTAGGGGTTTAGGGTTTAGGGTCTAGGGCTAGGGTTTTTAGGGGCTAGGGTGTAGGTTTTAGGGTTCAGGGTTTAGTTAGGACTGTCTGGGTCCTGGGGTTGCTTAGGGGTTAAGATCTGGACCCTCGCAACCCAGTCAGAATTAGGACCGTTGAGGGAAACCCGAAAGCCATAAGCGGCCCCAACCCCCGAACGCTAACACCCACATGCCCTAAACCCTGGAACGCAGCAAACCTCTGAAACACCAGAAACCTACCATAAAACTCTTTTTCGGGCAGATCCCTCATAGAATTCATCTGGAACCTTAATAAAGAGCCCTTGTTTGGCCTTTAGAAACCCACTACACCACCGCTTCGGAGGGGTGGCGATGATGCGACTGGCTCTTGCCGAGATAGACCTGGAGCCGGGGTCCTTGGCGTTTCTTCTTACCGCTGGTTAGTAGGGAATGGAGGAATGAGTGCAGGTGTGTCGGGCCTTCTAGTTCTGTTACAGTCCAGGACCTACAGTAGGCCATTTAAGGGTTCCTTATAAGCCCCTTTAAACCAAAAATGGCACCCTTTGTATTCCTAGGTTACTCTTAGGTCTAGCATTGTGTGGTCTCGCGGGGTGTATCTGCTTGGTGCACTTCTTTGGTCATGGCGTGTTCACTTCTTCCTGTTTAACACTTTTCAATCGGGCCATTCTGGAATTGTTTCATGGCCTCAGTCGCTGGTTGTTTTGGAGACGATCTGCGGCCACTGCTACTACCACTGCTGCCACTCACTCCTCACTATCGCGACCATTACCTACCACCACCAGTGCCACTCCCAGTACCACCACCACTACAACTTCCACCACTACAACTACTACTACAACAACTACTACTTCTACCACTACAACTACCACTACCGCTGCCCCTACCACTACCATTACCACTATCACTGTCACTACTACTTACGTAGTTTACCTAACTTATTGGCTTATATACAGCTATCAATGGTCATGGCTATCCTCATCCCCAAACCGTATTGTTAGTATAAGGCATGGCGGCTACATCCGCGCAGCCTCTGCGGCTGAGCTGGCTGCAGATGCCAGGAAAGATCTTGCACCGACGCTTGGACCGCGGCTGGTTTTGGGCTTGCTTCAAGGTTTCGTGTAGCAATACCTTCAAGCCTGCTAGGGTTCGAGAGATGTACTGTAGGATGTGGGGTTTAGGGTGTAGAATGTGAATAGGCTCGACGGACGCTTGGCCTCAAGCCCAACTATCTGTGGTACTCTTAGCATACGGTTGATGATATAATTCCTGCAATACCCATAGTAGTAAATGTACCATAATTCCCAAAGTCTAGGGTCATTCAGCAAATGCCGCATTAGAATCATCAACCGTAGTAGAGTTGCATGCGAATTGTTTTGAGTTGACGGTACTGTCTTCCGATACCCTGGAAGCGACTTGCGCAGAGCGCTTCTTTTGTTGAAGCCGATGTGATACATGGTTCTAACACTTTTTGGAATTTCGTTCCATTTCACTTGCCGCCAGCATGAGCAGCACCATCACCGCAAGACAGCGACAGGGAGGGTCGCCAGAGGGACACGGAGAGAGAGGGAGCACGGCCTTGAAAACAAGGATCCAAAAGACAGGACTGAGCCTTAGGTTCCCACCCCCACTGAATGCCGAACTAGTTTCCAAACTCTTCTGCACAGGTTTCTCAAGCCAAGCTGTGGATACCCCAGACCAAGTAGCAGGGTTTTAGGATTCCTTCAAGGGCTCCAGCAGGAATACTATAAGGTATATATATATATATATATATATAGGGATTATATAGGGTTACTATAACAGCATGCTACGCCCTGGCGGCGTGCATGTGTGGCATTCGGTATCTAGTTGTGATGACTCATGTCTTCCACGCGCTGTCTCTACTACAATTTTAGAGGGTTTTTAGCCTTATTCAGAGTGTGGTGTTTGGAACCTAGCCCCCCTAAACTCGTTAAAGGATCAATCAAGGAGCCCAACACAAACCCATAGACGGAAACTCTCTAGTCAAAGACCCAGGGAAGAGCTAAACCCTAACGCCCTACACACCCTGAATCCCGTAACCTCAAATCCCTCAGCCTTACAGTGCCCAAAGCCCCAATTTTCCTAGTAGTAGAGTAGGTAACTAAACCTGATAGTACCCTTCTAGAGCCCTTTAAAGGAACCCTTATAATCCCTTTTGAAAGGAACCCTTAAATCTCTTTTACAGGAACCCTTACAATCTTTTTGAAGGAACCCGTACAATGTTAATTAAAAGGAACCCTTATAACCCCGTTTAAAGGAACCCTCAGTTCCCCGTGATACCCGACAAGTAGGTTGTCGTTTCAGAGACCCAGGGAAGAGCTTCGACCCCTGGCCATGGCCACCTTGCCTCTTGGCCTCCTTTTGGGAGTTTCCGGATGTTAGGGGTACCTTTAAGGGTTCCTTAAAGGCATCTCTAAGGGTTCTATAAAGGGTTTAGGGTTTAGAGTTTCCGGAAAGTAGGGGTACCTTAGTTTGGTGTCCTTGGAACAAGGATGCTTCCCACATTTCGGGGCTTGAGGATTTCAGGGTTCGGGTTTTCAGATCTCCTTATTATAACACGGCACCTAATATTTAGGCTACCCAGAAACGGACCATAATAGTATGTACTACTATTGGAGGTCGAGAGCTTGGAGATTTCATTACTAGCAGGATTCCTATGAAACCTCCCGCTTGTCCATGTCTTCAGAACTCCTTATTATAATACGGCACCTAATCTTCTTGGGGATTACTATAATAGTATAATGCACCTAAGCCCTAAACCCAACCACTCATGTCTTTGGAACTCCTATGAAATCCCAGTGAGGCTGCAGGCGAGAGGCCTCACGGCATGCGGTGACGCAGCTGCTCAGGTCGGGAGCAGGGCTTAGGGTTTAGGGCTTCGGGTTTAGGGTCTGGGGTTCAGGGCTTAGGGTTTAGGGTCTGGGGTCCAGGGCTTAGGGTTTAGGGCTTAGGGCTTAGGGTTTAGGGGTTTAGGGTTTAGGGGGTTTAGGGTTTAGGTGTAGAGTGTAGGGCTAATCAAGGGCCATGACATCCGTCAACGGATGTCAGGATGGAGCCAGGAATTGTGTTGCTCGTATCTTGTAAGTGTAACCTGATGCTGGTGCCTCTGCTGCCCGAGCTACACCACAGAGCAACAGAAGGCCAATGCCTGGTACAAGACTGCTGTCGTATGGGCTTCCGCTAAACGGACGCTCCGAACACGAACACGTTGCCCCTATTCAGCGCAAGCCCTGGAAATTTGGTTTAGATTGGCTCATTTGTACCTTGCATTGCTGCATGCGGGACATTTGCAAGACTTCGTGCGGGTGGCAAAAAAGAACAACAAAGAGCTACGAAGCAAGAACTGTTCTGGGTTCTTGTTAAGGAATGTATTTAGTTTAAGTTACCATAATCGGTATCTACAGTAGGTGTACCTTCTACCTCAGGGGTCATAACCTACTATTCTGTAGGTTTTGGGGATCCAGGTAGGGCTGGCCCAAACAGCATGAGTCTGCGAGGCCCCGCCCACCCAACTACCCCTGAATATTGAGAACCATACGGGCTCCAACAACGGAAGGGGGGGGGGGGTCATGGTGTCCTAAGCACTTGAAGGACTAGCTGGCTTTGATCAAAAAGCCTGATCAGCGTCCTCGGCATATCACCGACATCTATTTCCTGACAAGCCTTCGTGCCCGAAGAAACCTGAATCCTTCGTTCAGTGGTCGTAGTCGTACCCGAATGCTCAGCTGCAGGCAGAAGCTGCAGACGCTCGGCTTGGCTTCTATACCTGGGATACCCCAGTTCCATAAACCCGAAAGCATAGGGAGTATTAGTGTTAACTGACAAGTTCGCGGTGTCGTCTTCGCAATAGAACTCCAGCGGTACCCACAGCATGTAACTGTAACCCAGCATCGCGTCATGTGGGGAATTGGAGTTTAAAGATTCAAAGCTCGCAAGGCCTGAGCCCTTCGCCGGAACCCAAGGGTCCAAAGTACTTCACCTGTTTTCTTAGGGGTACTTAGAAATATTTTTTAATTTTTGGTTATTATAATCCCAAAGAAGCAGCTAAAATTATAGTTGTTGCTGGGGTTCTAAGTTCAGTATAGTTTTCTGAGCCTGTGAAAGTCATGCTGGGTAATTATCTGTTCATAATTTGGTTGCCGGCTACACGATTTCTGAAATAGTGGGCCGTAGTGTTCTGAAGGGTCCAAAGTACCTCAAGGCTTAAGGTTCCGGGATAGTAGTATCTTGCGATTATTCGCTACTTGGAAACCTGGTGCCACAAGGACCTTTAACTGGGCTCTTCAAAGGGTTCTATAGTTTATGGGTTTAAGGGTATGATGAGGGTGCCTAAATAGCTCGAAGAAAGGTTTTGGAGGTTTGTTGCAGTAGAGTCATACAGAGGCGACAGCAAGGCATGCTTGTGAGCAAGTATTCGTTATCCCGAACCCCTGAACCACTGAACCCCTGAAACCCAAAACCCTAGGAAGGGACGCTATTTCCGACCTTCTAGAACATGTATATAAGTCTTGTTTAGAGTGCCCATCCAGAACTCGAGAACCTTTACAGAAGCCCTATTCATTTTTCCTTGCCCTCCGATCTAGGGGTGTCGTGAGCCCCGAATCCTCCAAACACTGCTAAATCCTTAAACCTCAAAACATCCGAGATCCCAAGACCTGCAAACCCTATGAACCCCAATCCTGGAATCCTTAACCTTACCCTCGGGTTAGGGGTTCATAGGGTGTCTAAGCCTTGCACCCTATAAACCTTAAACCCTGTAAAACAGCTCCCGTCAAGGACTCTGTTCAGTTGCACCGGCCTCAGTCTTGACCGTCTCGATCGGTAAGGGCTGCTTCGAAGGATTTCGAAGGGTCATGGTTTTAAGGACTTGGTGGATTCATGGTTTAAGGGCTCAGGGTTTAGGTTTTGGGGCGTACGTCAGGCTCCGGCTACTAGTTTACACCAACCTTCCGAAAATTGAGAGGCGCAGACTGACTGATAACACCCAAGACAGTTCGAGACTTATATAAGAGGGGATCTCCTCCAACTTGTTGAACCGCAATGGCTCGTTGTATGACAGCTCGTATTAAGCAAGGTTGCCCGGTTGGATGTACAGAGGTTGCCCTAGCGGCCCTAGCGTTCCATCGGATTGCCATAACTGCTGGAAGGGAAAGGGCTTCTTTAAGGGTTGTATCAAAGGGGGGTCATGGTTGTTTTTGTTGGTTTTGTTTAGCGTGTTCTCAAATAGACCACTCGAAGGTGTTTGCTCTTAGCAGCAGTAGAGTGACCCTTTCATTCACAAGACGGATGTATGCAGGTGGAATAGTCCAGTACATCGAGCCGCCCCCACCGTCGCTATAGACAGCACTCCCGCTCAAGACAATGAAAGGGATTGCCATCACTTTAGACAGGAACCGTGCAAAACCTAGAAGTAAACAACCCAGGAACATGCATGCCATCTAGAAGACACTGGGTTGTCCTTTGGGATTTTTTTAATTTCTCTTACTATTTTGTAGAGAACCATAATATAAATTAAAAAAAATTCAAAGGGCATAAAGGACAACTCAGAGACAGGTTTCGACGCCTGGGCGACAGAATTGGCGAGGTTCTGGCCTCATCACAGAGACTGAGTGGGTACTGCGGTTTAGGGTTTAGGATTTACCTTAACCCTGACGAACCTACCTTTTTAGGGTTCCCTACTATGATTTCCTTATACAAGTCCTTAAAAAGGTAGGTTCTTCAGGGTTAAGGTAGGGTTTAGGGGTTAGGGGTCTCCAAAGCCTCTTCTTAGATTATGTCTGCTGGGTGTTCCGCAAGAGTTCCATTGAATGCTTCCGGTCATAAATTCTCAGATGGGGTGTTAAGCATGTTATGTTTGTTATGTGTCCAAAGGGCGTTTATTTATTTACGGCTCTGAGTGTCCGCCGGTCTTATTTCCATGCGTTTCAGTGTTTAGAGTGCTTTGCATGTTCCTGCCAGGCAATGGCAATAGTGTCCGTGGCAAGCTCTAACACCCTGGCTTTGCCTTCAGCCTACATCCAGCGATGCTACTCCAGATTCGCATGAGGACGCGCAGAGAAAGAGACTTAAAGAGACAGTTCGAGCGATGCAGGGAAATGGAGACATCGCTATTCCGGTCTTGTACATAGAGTGTGTACCTGTGCATGTACACATACGCACACACTGAAGTCTTGCATGTCGGTATGTATACCTGAGATCTGTTTGGTGCTATCAACACACCTATGCACTCACAAACAAGCTTTAAATGCAATCCGACAGTCCTAAACCCAACCCTAAACCGAGTTGAGTTTCCTGCAGGCCCACGCGACACACGTCCTTGCGCTAGCAACAGCGCTCGGGGGCACTGCCTCAGCCTACGAGGATGCCTTTGTCTGGGGTGTTGGGCTTTGGGTCTAAGGCTTATAAGGTTTAAGCTTAGGACCGGGTTCGGCGTTTATAATTTCGGCTTAACTAGGGGATGGGGAATGTGAGGGCCTCCGGGCTCAATATTTGGGGTGTAGAGCAGCATGTCGGCTTAGAGTTTCAGGTTTCTGAGGTGCGGGTCCCTCCCAGGGGTTTAGGGAAACCCTGCTCCAAATGCAGGGTTACTCGTTGATGATGCCTTAAAAGTCCTTGAAAACCGAAACAAAGCCTTTGAACTCCGAACCCAGACCCCGGAAACAAGTATGCGGGTCCCACAACCCGTCCCAGACCCACCAACCGAAACAGACCCCAAACTGTCTAGACACACACTTTCGACACCCCTTTGAACAATGCCTCCCGATTTAGCCACCTACCTGTACCTTGTAAGCCGCAATTTCTCCCGCGACTTGGGGCTCAACAAGTTCCCCGGCCGAAACCGTACGTGCCGGGAGCTTTCTCATCTGATACCTCAGACCTGTTGGGACTGGGCCGGCTTGAGGTAGCACTAAAATTCTTAACCACAGTAACAATAGTAACTATACCAATGATACTAGTACTAACTAATGAATGATTGTCCTAGTCATACTACTAGTAGTATAAATCATCCTAAGAGCAGAAACACAGAACATCAGAAGAAGCTCCCGAACCGCCGAAGCGACTCAAACCAACTATCACGACGGAAGCAAGACGCACAACCTCATAATCTCTAGACTCTATACACCCAAGCCCTGCACTCCTAAACCCCTGAAGTACCGCCAAAAGCCGAAACCCTAAACTCCCGAAGTGCGGCCCAAACCCTAGACCCCAAACCCAAAACCTAAACCCTAAACCCTAAAACCCTAATAGGGTCCAGCCTTAAACCAATTTCGACCTCAAAGTGCAGCCCAAACCCTAGACCGCAGACCCAAAACCTAAACCCTAAAAACCCTAACAGGGTGCAGCCCTAAACCCAAACTCGAGACCCTAAACCCCCTCGAAGTGCAGCCATGCTTGCTGTCTGCTGGCTTCTTTTGGCCCTGGGACCGCGTCTGTCACTGGGATCTCAGGCGGAAAGCTGCGTCGCAGAGGCCGGAGTAGCTTTCTCTTGACATATTATAGGCTTAGAGGGCTTCAGGGTTTAGGGTTCAGGGCTCAGAGTTTAGGATTCAGGGATTAAGGGTTAAAGAGATTCAGGGGTTGAGGGTTCAGGGTTTGGGGGTGCAGGACTTGGGCTATACGCCCTGAAGATCAAGGGCTGGTGAGGCTTCGTGTTGCAGAATTTGGGGGCTAAGGGTTTAGGGTTCAGTAATTCAGGGATCCATCTAGGGTTTATAGAGTATAGGACTCGATTAGCTTTTGGAGTCTGCGAGGCCGCCTGAAGTCCCGAAACTTACCTTTCTAGCCATGAACGAAAGATGCAATGTAGTCAGACTATAACCGTAAGGGTCCATGTACCCAGATAGTATATACTTTGGGCGCAATGTACGTATATGGGGAACTACTTGTCGGCCAAAGTATATACTATTTGGGTACACGGACCCTTAGGGTAAGGAAGAGTAGTAGAAGTATGTTTTCGCCGCGTCCTGAGTCTGAGGGTTGAGAGGAGTTGCTGGGCTGAAGCCTGTGCAGTGACGCATTTTGGGCGGGTTAAGAGGGTTTAGGGTTTAGAGTTTCGGGCTTAAGACGGCTTGGAGTTCAGGCATGTCGGTATCCCGGTAGCAAGATGGAGTTGCAACTCCGAGTTTGATGAATTCATGCTCGCGCGTGGTTCTTTTTCTCAAACGGGGCTTGGAACCATCCGAAACATCGCTTCCGAAAGCCCCAAAGGCTAAATTTCAACCTGGAGGATCATGGGACTTAGTAAGTATAAGTTTATAAGTACCTTCATTGGGGTTGTAAGTAGATGTAAGTTTAGTTACCCGAAATATAACCCTAGTTACTAGGTCCCGGGATCCTTCAAGTGCACTCGATGAGTTCGCAGACAGCCTACTACAGACTAGGCTCACAATGCTAGTACGACCCATTCTACGAATCTACAAGGCCCTCAACCGCAAATCAAACACCCAAAATCCCCAGACCCTAAACCCCCAAACCCTCAACCCTAAACCGACATCACAACCCCGGAGCCGAGGAGCTCGCGGCAGAAGATGTGAAGCCTGGCTTTGGAGTAGCATACTTAAATTTTGGTGCCTATTCCTTACATAAAGGATTTGTTTTTTTTTTGGTGCCTGTTCCTTAAAGGAACCATTATGAGATAAAAGTCTATACTTTTTCCCTAAGCTCTAAGCCCTTCAAACCCTAATGGTCTAGGATGCCCAGTATTACCCTTATTCCCTTTTTGTAGTCCTAGGTTCCTTATAAAGTTACCCAATACCAAAAAGAGAGGCCTTTTTATGCTTAGGTTACTGGGTATCCTAATGGTTACTTCAAAGTCCAGGAAGGTGTCGATGCTTAGACCCTAAACCCTAAACCCTAAACCCTAATAATGGTTACTTCAAAGTCCAGGAAGGTGTCGATGCTTCAGACGTCCCTTCGCCTTCTGCCCAAAGACACGGGGCCGGTGAAGGACCAGGCCCCAGTCCCTTTTGGCTTAGGGTTTAGAGTTTAGGGTTTAGAGTTTAGAGATTTGAGATGTCTAGTGTATAGGTTTCGGGTGTATAGGGGTTTAGCGTCACGGTTTAGTTTGTCGGGCGGTTAGTTGGTGTTTAGCAAGCAGTTTGGGAATTCGTTGAATGCCTGTATTGGGCTAGCATGACGGATAATTAGTGCTGGGTTTCCATGTGACTCCTGTCGAGCATAACCAAAGCCATGTACATCCTAAACCCCAAGTGCAAAGTTCAAAGCCAAAGCTAGCCCCCAATCTGTAGACCCCATGATGTCCATCCCTCGAGCTTGCATTTTCCGTGGACTAGTAGACCCGGACCCTACCAACCGCCAATCATAAACCCGTACCCTTCAACCTTTAACCTAAGCCCGAAGTACCAAATCCACCATAAACCCTTCATCTGTAAACCTTAAAATCAGCCTTGTTGACTGTCAGCGTATTTATAAACCCTAAACCGTATGAACACAGAACCGTAATTCCCTTAAGACAACGAATCCCCAAAGAGGTCTACAACTTGCACATCCCAAAGTCTGCGGGAAGCTCCTTCGCACTGGATGCGCAGCGCATCTTGAAGGCCTCCGCTTCCCCTTTACTTAAAGGATCATGGGACTTAGTAACTAGGGTTATAACTAGGGTAACTATACTTATGACCCCAATTAAGGTACTTATAACCTTACTTAATAAGTCCCATGATCCTCCAAGTGTGGGTTAGGGGCATGAGGGGCCTACCACTACAGATGCATAGCATCATTCACCATCGGGCGATGCCTGCACAGCAGCATGAAGGAGGCAGTGCGACCCGTCAAAGTAGCCCTCATCTTTCTATAAGTTAGGCCCGAGTATATAAACTAGATATATGGAGCCTTAGGGTACGTGTTCAGTCTGCTCAAAGTCTCAATAAGGCTCTGCTTGAGGCTGTAGGGGTTTAGGAGATTTTGGGGCTTATAGGGTTTAGGGTAGTGGCTGCACCAATATAGGGGCCTTGATAATTACTTCTATTTGGGGGGGGGGCCTTATTATGATTATAGTACAATGGGCTCCAAACCCTTATTCTGATTATTAAGGCCCCTATAGTGGCGAAACCTGGATCTGCAACCGCGACCTTAGCAACCCCGGAAAACAGCTTTCAATCTCAATGTCTCCAAGCTGCGACTCCGAAAACACGCAAGTCCCCCCAGAACTGAATTCGCTGGAAACCCTAAACCCTAAACTGGGTCCTTGTTGGATACAATTCTACATGTTTGTTATAAGAAACCCCAAGAAGGATTTAGAATGATCATTTTCATTTTAGCCCCACAAGGGAACCAGTAAACCCTTTACCAGGAGGCTCCTACGGTTGATGATATAGATCCTGCATCACCCATATTAAGGAGTATACCATAATTCCCATAGGTTAGGGTCATTAAGCTAATGCAGGATTTATATCATCAACCGTAGTTCCTGGGACTTCCAAATCAGGATTTGGTTTTTGGCGAGTCTTCAAAGGGGGTTCCAGGGCATGTAATCACTTATAGGTTGTAGGAGTTTCAGGTATACTTCAGGGTACAGGGGTTTCACCTGTGCCCTTGGGTTTAGGGACTTCACTTGATATAACCTACATAGCCTTTCTCTCAAGCCTCTCACTGGAAGACTCCCCACTGCTGCAACACCGCAATTGCGAGCCGTAGGTAAATCCGAAATCCGAGCTACTCACACCTCTGAACCCTGAATCGTACACCCCACGTCGCGCAGCCTTCATGAAATCTCAGAAACCCCCCAACAGCCCTAGGGTGGTCTGAAATGCCTAAGAAGCCTCTAGAATCCCCTGAACCCTAAACCCCTAAACCCTGAACCCCTAAACCCCTACAGAACAAGCCCAACAGTTGTTAAGAGCAACGTAAAAGAAATCCCTTGGCCTTGGCCTTAATCCGGTTTCCAACTTTCTGGCTTCTTTTGTAAGCCCTATCCCTCCAGACCCCAAACCCCTAAACCCCAAAACCCGACCGGCTTGTAATTCATACTTAGTTCGTCCCTGTGTTGTATCTGGAGCAAGGATCCCTGCGTCAGTCTCGCCTGGATCGTCCGACGAGCGCTTCATAAACCCCAAATCCCGTAAACCCTAGACCCTGAAACCCTAAACTCCCAACCCTAAATCCCTAAACCCTGAAACCCTTAATCCAAACCCCTTAAACCCTAAACCCTTAGAAGGCCTCTGGGCTGCAGATCATCAGCCAAGAGGGCTGCTACGATCTGCCGCTTCTCTGAAGTTCTTCTGAGGGCACTGAGTGTTCACGAGCGAAAATTCAGGCTTCCGGTTGTCAGAAAAGTGGCCCTGCGATAGACACGCTGGCACCAATTACTCAGATTACCCTAAACCCTAAAACCCTAAATCCTAAGCCGTCGTAACCTTTTCAAACGGGGGAACCTTCATCTCCATGGGCCCCATAAGTCCCCATAGGCTCCATAGTAGTTCCTTTTTGGGATTACCTTCATAGGATTCTGAATGTGAACCCCAAGAGGAACTACTATGGAGCCTATGGGTATTGAAATGAAGACAGAAAGCCGAAATAAGCGCCAAACCCAAAAGCCCAGGCACAAAAGCAATCCGCAGCTCAAGGGCACCGTGACCATGCTGCGTAGCCCGCGGGAGCATGTGCTCTCCCAGTTCGGTACCCTGGCCGGGATCTTTGGAAGCCTACTTAAAGGATCATGGGACTTAGTAACCAGGGTTATAATTGGGTAACTGTACTTATAAGCCCGATTAAGGTAGTTATAACCTTACTTACTAAGTCCCAGGATCCTCCAAGTAACCCCGAAACCCTAGACGCTAAACCCCGAGCCCTCAGAACTCCTAAACTGCTCCTGAAACTATAGTAGAAGGCAAACAGTTGGAACGTGGCTTTAGGAGGATTGGTGTACTTCACCTTAAGGGCATGAGGATAATGATCTTCCAACTTTATGCTGGCCACTACGATAGGAGGCCCCTGTGGCGACTCGCCATGCTGCGCTCTTGATTTTGGACTCCCGAAGAAGGACAATGCCCCCCTAGCTAGTCCAGGACGAAATATGCCCTGGAAGGTGTATATAAGGTAAAAGCCAGAAAGTTGGAATATGATTATCCTTACCCTTCTATGGTAAATTATAGGGTATCCTACCATGAAACCATATTCCAACTTTCTGGAGTTCCCTTTAAAGACATGCGCTGGGGACCGTTGAACTGAGTCCCAAGGCTGAAGATGACGCAAGAGCCTTAGGAGCTAGAGCCAGTGAGTGTGGTGTTAGCTAACCATTGATATTGGAGGAGCTAAGGAGCCAGGGATGATGATAATCCCTATTAAATATTAATAAGTTGCTAAAGAGCCATGGAACCCCGAAAACCACTGGTTAGTTAGGATGCCCTTTGAGCACTTCCAAGCGGCTGCATGTTAATACGTTTTTCTTCGGAAGAAAAGGTTGTAACCTTTCTATGGTTAGGACCCTACAGCACACAAATAAGGCAACCAGCATAAGTACTCAGCTTGTGAAACGGCTACATTGGCAGGAGTTGCCTGACATTTGGGCCACAGCAGAGACTCGCGGTGAATGCACGGGTGTATGTACGCATGCATGTACCATCACTGTATGTATGCATGCATGTATGCATGTATGTCTGTCTGTATGTGTATGCAGCATTAAGTATTTCTGCATGCATGCATGCATGTCTGTACGTACGATATGCATGTATAACCGTACCACGGACAGAAGTGGCAAGAGCACAGAGTGAGCGCGACACAGACAAGACGCTGGCTACAAGTTACAAGAGATATCTTTGGCGAACATGTCGGTATGGCCAGTTTTGGACATTGAGCTTGAATCAAGTCTTTCTGATTCTGCAGATGCATGGAGTATATGGCTGCTACACTGCGGCTACACCTCAGACCCGAAACCCTCATAATGATCATGATATGACCATGTCTGTACTCAGAATCTCCCACCACTTAGCAGGCTGTCTTTCATCAGCAAGATTCAACACACCGCAGGTTCAATGGCCGTTATAGTTATGGCCCATTTGAGTTCAAGTGGTGGTTCATGTTCTTGGATTTCCGGATTTTTGAATCAGAGAATCTACGATCGAACACCCCCTTACATCACTACGCGCCTTATGATTCAGGCTGCGACCTTTAATCCTATATGGCAGACCAACCCCAACGGTTTAGGGTTTAGGGTGATTTGGGGATTCAAAGTCCCAGTCCCAAGGCATGTGCCACAGCCGATGGGTCAAGGACCGGGGCCTTATTTATTTCGTTTTTTCGGCGGATTTGCGATATCTGGGGCACCCTGGTTTGGAGGCGATGTCCAACTAATCATTTTGTTTGTTGCCTCCTTTCCCGTTCCAGGTTTGTGGGGCGGTGGGGCTGGGGATTTGTGGTCGGCATTTATGTCTTGTATAAACCTTGAACCCAAGTAAGACTTAGCCCCAGCCTAAACCCTAAACCCTGAACTTAAGAAAAACAAGTTTGTCGTACCCCCAGACTCCCAGTGCTCCTTCGGCTTCCGTAAGCCCGCGGCGACCTGTGCAAAACGAAGACCCTGCAAGCCTGGAGGCTGAGCAGGTTTTAGGGTTTAGGGTTTAGGGAGGTAACCTTCAACCTTTTAGGGCTTATATGGGTGGTTGTCAATATTGGGGTCCCTTTTCGGGTCCTTATTATAATACGGCACCTGATATTTAGGGTACCCAAACAGGGACCATAATTTTGACAGCTACCCATATAATCCTACCATAGTTCAAAAGGGTAGCCTTTTTGGCCTAGGGTACTCAGCCCTCAAGCCGTTTCATCCCAAGCCCGAAGCTCCGAAGCTTCGAAAAGCTTTGGGATGCAGGGGTTCGGGCTTAGGGCCTTCAGCCCTCGAAATCAGAAGCCCTTAACTGGCCTGAGTATTTCGTGACAACATCTGTGGGGTCATGACATGGGAGCTACAGCTACATATGAGCATGGTGAACATGAGTATAAGCACCTTAGTTGGTTTTATCTGCAGTTATAGTTACCTGTTAGTTTACAGCATCTTGTCTAGAGCCCCTTACTATCCCTAAATCCCGAATCACTACGTCCCCAATCCGTAGCCCGTTCCCCTACATACACATGAAACCACCCTCCTTGCGACCCTAAGACCTGGCAGAAGCCAGCACCTGTGTCCTCAACCCACAAGTTCAAATCCTGGAGCCGCACCAAGTGCCTTAGTCATAAATAACTACAGTTGTTATGGTTATGGTTATCTTGGTAAGACTTAGTCCTTACCCTAAGTACTAAGCCCCATGATCCTCCAATTACCCCTTAACCTGGAAAGAAGCATCTTAAACCCTGAGCCCTGAACCCTGCAGACCCAAACAGTAATCCAAAACCCTGAGGCCTACTTACAGGATCATGTGATTTATATAGTAACTGGGGGTTGCAATTAGGCTAACTATACTTAAAAACCCCAATTGAGTACGTATGACATTACTTACTAAGTCCCATGATCCTCCCAAGTAGACCCCAAACCCTAAACCCTATAGATCCCTTTAAGGAACCCTATGGATCCCTTTAAGGAGCCCTTAAAGGAACCTTACTAAGTCCCATGATCCTCCAAACAAAAGCTTCGACTTCAGCCCTGGACCCCTGCCGCATCGCAGAATCCGGCGATGAAACCGCCAAGCAATGGTTGATGATATAAATCCTAGGGTTCCTTTAAAGGGATCTATACGGGGTACCTTTAAGGGGCTCCTTTAAGGGATCTATAGGGGGTTTAGGGTTTAGGATGATATAAATCCTGCAATACCCATAAGGAATATACCATAATTCCCATAGTCCAGGGTCCTTAAGGTCATGCAGGATTTATATCATCAACCGAAGTAATCCCCGATTCCTCAACCATAAACCCTAAACCCTAAAAGCAAGACAAAGCCAGCATAACACAAACTTAAACAGAACCCTGAGCTCGAAGCACCTCTAAACACTACCTACATCGGACATTCTGCGGCTTTAAAATATGTCGAAACACATGTGACCCAATCCTCAGCCCTGAACCCTTTAACCCCCACCCAAGCCCTAAATAGGAGTACCGATTTGCAACGCACCTGCCTGGCGTCGCCATGCTGCCGAAGAGCTTCCAGGTCTTTCGGTTCAGGGTCTTACTTGGCCTTAAACGGATCTATAGGGTTCCTTAAAGGGATCGATAGGGTTCCTTACAAAGATCTATAGGGTTCCTCAAAGGGATCTATAGGGTTTAGGGATTAGGGTCTACTTGGGAGGAGCATGGGACTTAAGGTTATAAGTACTTTAATTGGGGTTATAAGTATAGTTACCCCAATTATAACCCAAGTAACGAAGTCCCATGATCCTTTAAGGATAATGAAACCCAGAAAGTTGGAACATAGATTTAGGATGATTCATGCTGGGATTTCCCTACACTATACTTTAAGGGCATGAGGCTAGTGATGTTCCAACTTTCTGGCTTCTATTGTAGGGTGGAGGGTTTAGGTCTCTCGGTTTAGGGTTATCCTTTCCTTTGAGGGTTCAGATTCGGGGTCCTCGCTCAGGTTGTTTTCTGTGACAGGATCTAGAACCGAGTCCTCGACTCGCAAGCAAACTCTTCAAGCCATTTGGGAGTTTCCGAAAATAGGGGACCCTACCGTAACATGGTACCCTACACAGTAGGATCCTTATTATACGGACCCCAAAACAAGGTACCCCTAATTTGTGGAAACTCCCACTTCGTTTCTACACCCTAAGCCCGAAACCCGAAACCTACATCCGAAGCACTGGTTGTGGGCACAGGCGGCTACAGTAGGGATTAGGGTTTAGGGGTTTACCCTAAACCCTAAACCCTAAACCCTAATTTAGGGTTTAGGTTTCAGGGTCTAGGTGTGAAGCGTTTGTGATCAGGGTTTAGAGTTTAGGGCCTGGGTTTAAAGGCTTGAAACAAATGTACCTTAACCTTGAACTACCAGAACTTTTCTTTGTAGGGTCCGCAAAAAGGTCTAGATTTGGGATTATCATAAGAGCCTACAAAAATCAACCCCTAAACCCTAAACCCCATAGCTTTTACCAGGGTTTAGGGGTTCAGGGTTTAGGTGTTTATCTAGGGTTTAGGATTTAGGGGTTTAGGGTCTGGGTGTTTAGGGTTTAGGGTTGCAAAGCATTAGGAGTGGATCTGGAAGTGGGCGGACCTCGAAGAGAGCGGCTGGCACGGCGACTTCACTCCGGGAGCAGATCCGGCGCCTTGAATTTAATGGTTTTGGGGCTTATGGTGTGTATTTTGGGGTTTAGGGTGTAAGGTTTATTTTGGGGGTTTAGGGCTTATAGGGTTCATTTTGGGGTTTAGGGCTTATAGGGTTTATTTTGGAGTTGGGGGTTTATAGGGCTTATTTTGGATATTGAAGTTTATCTAGGATTCTCTCAGGGGTTCCCGCTAAGCGTTTAGGGTTTAGGGCTTATCCCTAAACCCTAAAACCCTAAAGCCCTAAACCCTAAAACCTTAAACCCTAAAGCCCCTAAATCTTAAACCCTGAGGCCTTAGTTATTGCTCTGAAACCTGGTCTCCTGCAGCTCTGGGGTCAGTTTGGGATCAGAATACAGGGTTGTGCAACCTTAGGCTGGGTTCTTGTTAAAGGTTTTTGGTTTAAGTCACCATATTAAACAAGCCATAGTATTTACTATAGAGCATTATTGGTAGCTTATGCTTACATTAAAGCTATAACAAGAACCCAGTTATGATTCGGGTTCAGGGTTCCGTGTTGATAGTGTTGATATACAGGTCTGGTTAGCTGGGATACTGACCCCACGCGTGGCCATATCCACATCGACATATACATATCCATATCTAAAGCCCTTAATAGCAGCTCCATTGCAGACTTCTACGGTGTGTGGGCGAGGGGGGGGTGGAGGAGGGGTGGAGTACCCAGTGAATATCTACTACGAACATCCCAGGTGCAAGGTTCATGGTTTGCCTTCCCGGGCTGGGGGGTCGAGGCGTTTGTGCTTTTTCGGACAACGGTTTGGCAAGTCCGTCACCGTCTCTGTACGTGGACCCACTATTTGAGGGGGTTTAGGGTTTAGGGTTTAGGGGTTTAGGGTTTAGGGTGTCTGTGCAGGTATGTTATTGTGGTTTCACCTCTGACCTGCTTTATGCTTCGGATCCTGCAATACGACATCGAGTAACCAGAAGACGCACCACCTTTCAAGGAGTAGGTTCCCTCTTTACATACCGTATCGTCCTTATATACTCTTACGATAGTATACTCCTGAGCCCCATTTAACCATCGAGGCCCGCAAGCCCTTTGTAAAACCCTAAACCCCAAAAAGCCCCAAACCCTAAAAACCCTACAGCCTTAAACCATAAACCCTAAAACCCTAAAGCCCCAAACCCTAAAGCCTTAAGCCCTGAACCCCAAGCCCTTTATGGCCAGATCCGAAGCCTCAAGGTCACGGGCGCCTCGATGGAAACGATCATCCGGAGCCATCGGGCAGCGGCCTGGGGCGAACCTCCGTACAGCAGCTTGGCCGTGAGGGCTCTGTTCAGGGTTCAGGGCTTGGGGCTTAATTACTATAAGGTGCCCAGTAGTACCCTCATTCCCTTTTTTGTAGTTCTAGGTTCCTTATAAAGTTACCCAATACCACAAAGGGCGCCTTTCTATTCCTAGGTTACTTAGGCCGTGAGAGCCTTAGAGAAACGAAGGTTTAGGACTTCGAGTTTGGGGGTTTTAGGATTACCTACAGTCGCAACTGAAATTCCTTCTTTGGTTTAACACATTTAATTAGTAGGATCCTGTAAGGTTGCAGCTACAAGAAAATGCGATGGAGGCTATAGGTTTGGATCTATGTAGGTTAAGGCCCATTTCTTGAAAAGTGCAGCCATCTAGATTCAGATGCAGCTGCGATATCAAGGTATAACTTTCAGAACCCTCCACCCCTCATCCCAAAAATCGGCATGCTCTGTTGCCAAGACAGCCTCCCGAAACCCTGAACCATAAGCTTCAAAACCCTCTGCCTTCATCTTTTTGAGGAGTTCTGTCGACTTGTGGCCTTGTGGTCAGCAGGTTAAATGTGCTTATTGCATTTTGCAAGTGCCTACTGCCCTTTGAAAAGGTTTACGGGTTTCAGACGTTGAGGGTTTAGTGTTTCGAGTTACGGATTAGGGCCTAAAGCCCTCAGTAACCCCTAGAGCCTAAAGCTCTAAACCCCTAAAAGGCATTTTTGTTCTACTTCTTGCTGTGGCCCTGTGCCTTGCTGAGTGCTGTGCCATATGCATCCCGAATCCTCAAGCAGGACTTCGGGTTTAGGGTTGAGGGTTTTTGTGTTTAGGGTTTGGGGTTTTTGCGTTTAAACATTAGGGTTTAGGGGTGTTGGGTTTAGGGTTTCAGGTTTTGGGGTTAGGGTTTTTAGGGTTTGGGGTTTACAGGGGTTTCTGCACTCACATAGCCTGCAACCCCGAAAGCCTCTAGCTTTGCAGGGGATCTTGGTCGGGTTTGTGGCTTGTCTAGTCTTTTTTATTTCAATGTTACCACAAGTAACTGGGGTTTACGCCCTGCACCCAACAAAAACTGAAGTTGAGCTCCTTAGCAGAATCTAGCCTGAGGTATCGCACCAGGAACACAGCTGAGTGTGTCCGACTGGCCTACGCTGGACGCTTGGGCTGGGGGTTTAGGGTTTAGGTTGAAGAACTTGGGCTGTAGGGCTTTGGGGTATAGGGTTTCGGGTTTATGCCCAGCGCTTCAGGTTGAAGATGTGGGGCTGAGGTTTAAATTATCAGGTAATTACGGAATATAGGAGCCTAAATAAACAGGAGCACAGAGTAAACTAAACTCTGAAACCTAAACACAAAATACACACGGCAGTGCACTTTCTGGAAGTACAGGCAGAGTAATCCCTAAACCCGAAACGCTAAGCCAAAAATGTCAGGTGGCTTTCTGCATATAGGATAGAGTAACCCCTAATCCCCAAACGCTGAATAAACATTTAGCAGTGCGGTGCAGTGCCCGATTTGGTAGTACCTATAGTCTCCGTCGTAGTTGTTTTTTTGCGATACTTTATAGGATCTTTGATATCTAATAACTAGTTAATTAAACCCTCAAGAGGAACTACAATGGATACTACAGGTATAGAGTCTAACTGCTACGGCTCGGAGATGACACCCTGAAGATATAGGGTTTGCGGTTGTCGAAGAGTCCTGCGATTGATGATATAAATCCTGCATGACCTTAAGGACCCTAAACTAAGGGAATCATGGTATATTCCTTATTATGAGTAAAGCAGGATTTATATCATCCTAAACCCGAAACCCCCTATAGATCCCTTAAAGGAGCCCCTTAAAGGTACCCCTTATTAGTCCCTTTAAAGGAACCCTAGGATTTATATCATCAACCGTGCGATTCAGCTTCGCGGGCATATATACGGGGTTCAGTATAAGTAGATTCTACACTGTGAACTGAGATTTCAGCTTTTTTGGGTTCGGGGTCGAGGGTTTCGGAGTTGAGGGGTTTAGGGTTTAGAGGTTGCGTAGCTCTATTCCGGTGTGGGAAACTACGGCCTGAAATCTAGACTCCTCAAGTACTTGGACGCGTTGGTGCTAAATCAGGTTCTGTTTGGCCTTCATAAAGCCAGTGCAGGCTATTCCCTAAGGGTCCATGTACCCAAATAATACTAGTATATACTTTGGCCTTGTTAATTTCATAGTCCCTATTTTGCTGATTTTCATAGTCCCTTTTCATAGTCCCTGTTTCGGTACTGTAGGGCCAAAGTCTATGCCATTTGGGTACATGGACACTCAGGGATTCCTCTACGTCTGCTCGAAGCCCATTTGGTCGCTGAAGTTCCGATCTCTACTCTCGGGATGGTTCTCGTTGTAGTAGTTGTTTAAAGGTGGGTTTAGGGTTTAGGGTTTAGGGTATTCCCTTGTGGTTGCCGGATATTTAGCTTAAACGATGGCCCACAGCACTTAAGGCCTTGCCGCAAGTAACCCCGAATAACCAAACCTCTAGGGATTACATAAGGAGGAAAACATAGTACGGAGCCCCAAGCGGGTAGGTTTCTAAGGGTTCAAACAGCGCAGCTCCTCAACCCTGAAGCCCTAAATCCTACTTAAGGGATCGTCGGACTTCGTAACTATAGGGTTATAACAAATAAGGTAATTATATTAAAATCTACTTGAAACCCAATTAATGTATTTTTACCTTACTAAGTCACATGATCCTCCCAAGTAGACCCTAAACCCTAAACCCTATAGATCCCTCGAAGGAAGCCTATGGATCCCTTTAAGGAGCCCTTAGAGGAACCTTACTTACCAAGTCCCATGATCGCTCTTTATGGAACACGTGGAGGATGGCGGCGGCACCATCTGGCACTTCACCCATGTGCCCTACCAATGCTACGTCCCCGTGAACTTACAAAGCCACAGGAGCCTCAGAAAAGTGCCTGGGTCCCTCAAAATGGGGGTATCCGGAAAATAGGGGTACCTTATGTTGGGGTCCTTATGATAAGGATCCTACCTTTCAAGGTGCAAGATTAGGGTCCCCATGTCTGGATCCCACATATTCCTTTACGTGTTGAGGTTTCGTTCTTAGGCCTCTGAGTTACGGATTCACCTTATCCTCATAATAAACTGCTCAGAAGTAATGCCATGCTGTCCCTCAACTATATTTAGATTACCGAGGCCATTACATTGCAGCATTCACCCGCCCAAGAAAGACCGAGTCTGGAACTCCTAGGCGTCTTCGCTCACTGATTTGAGATCTAGTCCTCAACTCCTTAGTTATTAGTAGAGCAGGTAACCTTCACCTTTTTGGAGTATTTTAAAGGTCAACCTTCAGTTCGCGTAGGATACTGGGCAGAACCTTGGATGTTGAGTCCCCTGGGAGTTTCACTGCCAGGTTGGAGCTAAAGTGGAGCCCTACACCTCAAGCTCAAGGTCCAAAGCTCTAAACCCCGAAACCTTTATACATTTCCCAAAAGCCAATGAAAAGCAGTAGAAACATGTAAAGACCCCAGAAAGACCATGAAACAACCCCTGCCAAGCCAAGATTTAATTGTACAGGGCCAGTACGGGGAGATTGCTATTTTTGTTGTTGGTTTAACAAGCTTTACGCCAAGCAGGATGACTTGCCAGAAGCCGCTGCAATATGGGCAGCCGGACATCGACAAGGCTCTTCTGCTGAAGATCCTCGGCGCTTCCGGTTTTCGACGTTGACTTACTGCAGGACAATCACGGCTGCAATGTTAATTCTAGATCCACCAGTCTAATCATTAAGGCCCCTATATTCCTCCATAAACTTGTTGAATTGAAACCGTCCTCCTTGAACCCTTTCTTATAGAATCCTTTGAAAGAATTTTTGTCTATGCAACTGAGTCATTCCCTTCGTGGGCTTTGGTGTAATGCAGGAACCTGATCAAGAAACCCTGGTCCCAGTCCCATATCCACAACATACTAGGATCCATGGACAAATAATTGTTAAGGACACAAGGAGTCTTAATCAGGTTCGCAACGGCTTAGGAGTTAGGGCTTTCTCGGCCAAGGAACCTTGAAGATCTCTGGCCCCTTGCTTCAAAAGCATGGTTTTCGTTGATTGTGAAGCAGCGATTGTTGGCTTGTCGAAGATTTCTGAAAGGGGGCGTGCTCCAAGTTCGAGAATCCCTTGCCTTATCTAGAAGTTATTCGAATCGGCATCCGGCTTTTATGGTGTTTTGTTGCGGCCACCTGGTTTTTTGCAACCTTTACCAGAAGAAGGAGTGCCTGGGGTGCGTTTATGACGTCATGGTTTAGGACTATATGGTTATATGGTTCATAGGATTTGGGGCTATGGGGTCAGTATTGGGTTTAGGGTTGAAGGGCCATAGGGCTATGAATTTTGGGGTGTCGGGTCTCCTAAAGGGAACTCCAGAAAGTTGGAATATGGTTTCAGGGTACGATACCTTATAACTTACCATAAAGGGTTTAGGGTAATCATATTCCAACTTTCTGGCTTTTACTTTAAAGCGCCAAGGTTCGTGGGTTTTGCGGAAGCCTACCAAGCTTCCATCTGCCTGCTGCACGCCAAAGTGGCCGGTAAGCTCCCGTCGCACTGAGATCCATTCTTGGCAACACTTTCCCTATGCTTCCAGGTTTAGGGTTTAGGGTCTAAGTCTAACTTACCGTTTTTTGGGTCCTTCACTCGGCCTGGCCTTTAGCTTTAACATGGTTTGGGGTTCGGGGTGTAGGGTTCGGTTGCAGAACATGTAGGCAGACCATCTCGATCGCACTGGGCATCGATTTGGGCATTTGGGATCATTCGAATTTCCGTTGTTGATTAATGTAGAGCCCTAGTTGTAAATAAATTTGGTGACTGCTTGAAATCGTCACCCCGGTTTGGTGGCTCTGAAACTCGACACCCAGCCCGAGCCCCGAAGCCCTAGGCAGCTTCATCACTAGCTAGCCCAATGAATTTATACATACTACTGCCAGAGTATTAGGTCCCCCAAGTCCTAAGGCTGTGAAACCTAAGCCACGATTTGAATGATATTCTGGGGTCTACTTTCATAAGATCCATGATGGTCGTAACTTTGGACCCTCAGGGATACTGAAGAGCTTTTCGATGGACCCTTTATAGGAATCCCTCAGAGGAGTTTATGGATCAGAAAGGCCCTAAACCCAGAGGAGCCCATAGAGGAGCTCCTGAAGAAACTCCTTCAAGGAACCGGTAAGGACCCTCTGAAGGGATCCTGAAAGGAGCCCTTAAAGGAACCCCTAAAGGCCCTAAGGGATCCCTTAAAGGAACCCTTAAAGTTGCCTTAAAGGAACCCCTGAAGGATCCCTTAAAGGACGGCTAGAAGGAGCCCTACTTGGAGGATCATGGGACTTAGTAAGTAAGGTTATAAGTACCTTATTCGGGGTTATAAGTATAGTTACCCTAATTATAACCCTGGTTACTAAGTCCCATGATCCTTTAAGTAAACCCTAAACCCTAAACCCTATAGATCCCTTTAAGGAACCCCTATAGATCCCTTTTAAGGGACCCTTTAAGTATGAGGTATTGCAACTGCACGGACCCGGTGAGCTGGAGTTCCTTCCAGGGCCACAAGGAGAATCAGAACTCGACTCACTCAGGCGCGATGAGACTGTTGGCCTTCGCCCTAAGGGTCCAGGGATCTGCTTACTAGGGCTCCTTAAAGGGGTCCTTAAAGGGAGCTATAGGGGGTTCCTTAAAAGGATCTATAGGGTTTAGGGATTAGGGCCTACTTGGAGGATCATGTTACTTCGTAAGTCACGTTATAAGTACCTCAATTGGGGTTATAAGTAGTTATAAGTACAGTTACCCTAATTATAACCCTAGTTGCAAAGTCCCATGATGTTTTAAGTAGAGGGGTCCGAAATCTGCCAGGGACAGCCCTTGGGCTTCTTTGGGTGGTTTTTGAGGCGAACGACGAAACAAGGGGAAAAGGAGGGACCCTTAATAAGGACCCCAAGGTCTATACCCAAAATATAGCCATCATATACCCATGATATAGCCCATTATAGGGTAGGGGTCCCCATTAAGGGTCCCCCCTTTTCCCCAAAACCCCCAAAATCCCCCAGAACCAAAAACACCCTAAACGATATACCCTTGTAGAATCCCTATAGATCCCTTTAAAGGGTCCCCATTAAGGGTCCCTCCTTTTCCCTTTTGAGACAAAGCTCCCACTTCCAACAGAAGCTGTGCGGTTCGTGGTGCAGGCTTTGCCTTTTCAGGGTCATACCCTACCCCTTTTCTCATCCTAACCGTAGGACTAGGGCACCCTAAACAAGGGTACAAGTATAGGTAGGGTTTAAGTTTGGTATGATTAAGGGTTGTAGGGCTTAGAGTTTAAATATAGTTTACAGCTCAGTTGGGGGGTCATAGGTGCTATAGGGTTGTCGAAGGGGTTAGTGATCTTCTATGGGAGTTGATGGCATCTGTAGGATTTGCGGCTTTAGTTTTTTTGTTTCGGGTTAGGGCCGGTGCTTTGGCGGGGAGGGGGGGTGCCTAGGTGCATAATGTGTTTTTGAGGATGGTGTTCGGATTCTGTATCGGTTATACGACCGAATCTTCACAGAACACTCCAGAGTATGGTTATCGCGTTACCGTAAGATTTGTTGTGGCCAACCATGCCGGTGACGTTGATGATGTCGGAGATGAAGTTGACTGATATGATTATAAATAAGTGATGATGGTGATGGAGGGTGCTTGCAGGATCATGGGACTTAGTAAGTAAGGTTATAAGTACGTTAATTGGGGTTATAAGTATAGTTACCCTAATCATAACCCTAGTTACTAAGTCCCATGATCCTTTAAGTAACCCTAAAACCCTAAACCGTATAGATCCCTTTAAGGAACCCCTATAGAATCCCTATTAAGGACCCCTTTAAGGAACCCTAGTTACTAAGTCCCATGATCCTTTAAGTAGGGTACGAGGGAGGACCGTACCCTGCTTTCTGGCTCCTTCGTGGAAGGCTTTGGTGCGTTTGGCTCAGGAAATGCCGATACTCCCATGGCCATGCACCTAAAACCCTAACCCCTTAAAGGAACCTCAGTGGAGCCTCAAAGCGAAAAAGGAACCCAAGCAGGCAAGAAGGAGATTCCTGCCGATGTGCTGTCGGAGTTGGATTCTATTACCTTGCTCGATACCCTGCTCCACGGCAACTTCTTATCGAAGAGGTGTGGGGTTTTAGGGTTTGAGCGGTTTTCGGGTTTTAGGCTTGAGGGCTTATTGTGTGGGGATTATGCATTTTGGTTTGCTTCATTCGCTGTGGAAGCTGTTTCTTCATGGCACCCATAGTGCAGTTCTGGGCATCAGAAATCTCGTCGCCATGTGTTCCCATAGGTTGCTTTGAGCAAGCTATTACCAGAGGCATCTTTCCAGTTTAGGGTTTAAGGTTTAGCGTTGCAGGGTTCAGGTTGAATGTTTAGGGTTTAAGGTTTAGTGTTTCAGGTTTTGGGTTTAGGCCACGGCTCGGTGTCTTCCGCATTTTGTTTAGAGGCTTGTCAACATTCTGTCCCTAACCCTAGCTTCAACCCTGGTCCAAACTAAGGAGATCCCAACCCGCGCAAGATTTTTTCCGCACAGGGTCCTACGTACCTATATCATAGACAGCAGGTCTTCTGTAGTAACTACCTAAACGGTTTGGGCCTTTCATGTCTCCCCACATATAAACCGACAAATATATGTCTACATAATACATACATATATGTATATCTTTATATATATACACACATATATATATATATATATATTCTTTTAATAGAGATAGGTAGATAGATAGATAGAGGTACTTAAGGACCCTGTGGGCTTTAAGGCTCTACAAAGCAGCGTGGCTGCGCTTTGTCCAGGAGGCAGCCGACGTGGAGAAAAGGTTTCCTGAGAGCAAGCACTTTTGGGTTTAGGGTTTTGGGCTTGGGGAGCCCTCACTCTTGGGTTTATCATAGGGATCCTTAGGGGTGTAGGGGGAGGGGGGGTAGGGGGCCTTAAGGCCCATAATAAGGACTAATAAGGCCTATTTAAGGAAATATAGTCCTCTACACCCCTCCCCCCTACACCCCTAAGGATCCCTATGAGTTTAATATAGGGCCTAAAGAATTATGTACCTATACTAGTTTGGGGGTTCCTTAGTTATTAAAAGTTATTATGCTAAAAGTACGTTGTTAGGGTTCCTTATTATGATTTCCTGATCTGGGTCCTTGAAAAGTCTAATATAGAGGTCTAACTAATTGCCTATACTATTTTGGGGGTTCTTTACTATACTTATTATAATTATAGTATAATTGGGCCCAAAACCCCATTCTAATTATTAGGGCTCCCATAGTAGGGTTGAGGAGCCTATAACACATGGGTGGTTGTCCACATTGGGGTCGTCCCAAACTATAGGGTGCTTCATTAAGGATACATTTGTAGAGTTGTATAGGGTTCCCAGAGCTCCCACATAGAAGAACCAACTTGTATCGCACGCCATTTGCAGTTCCGTTTTTGTTGACCGATGTCACTGTATACGCATCCTAGAATACGAGGAAACGGTATAGTCAACGACAGAGGACGTCAAAGCGAGGGTCTAAGCAAACCCGCAAGGCCCCAGTCCCGTAACTACACCGCGAAAAGCCACATATAAACCCTTCCCTGCATGCTTATATAAGCTGGGCTTTGGAGTACCATACTTTAATATTTTTTTGGGACCTGTTACTTAAAGGGAACGAATTGTGGGAAAAACGTCTATACTTGTTTCTCCCTGGTTACTTCAAAGCCCGGTAAGGGCCACAGACGAGATAAAGGCCCGAAAAGACGACGGCTTGTCAGTCAGGGGTCCCGGTAGAGAAACTGACAGAAATTCATTGAGCCTTGCACAGAAAACTCGCAACCCATTAAAGTAAAAACGTACAATCCCTGCGCTAGAATAATGCAAAAACAGCTCATTCCAAAAAGCCCATGCAGAACCCTTAGAAGTCTTCAACTTAGTAGCTGAGGAGGTACACTTTACACTTTTTGGAATAGCATTAGCCCTTACAGAACTGAAAGTGTACATTTTTGTGCTTCCCCTAAAACTAGAGAAGTCCCAAACCCAAGCCCCCACAGCCGAAACCCCACCCCAGAAAGCCCCAGACCCTTTTTAGTCTTTTTAAGATCCTTAGGGTATGAACTCTGCAACCAAGTCAACGAGCCAAGGTTAGGCATGCGGATCCTTTGCAACGTCCAGCTGCCCCTTCTGGCGCCCTCTCCGCCGAGCTCTGGGGATTAGGGTTGGGGGGTGTATTGCTTCCCAGGCCGTCGGGAGGATCCAAAAAGTAGATCCCTTAAATTGGGTTCCTACAAAGTACCCTTAGTAGTATATGGCCCAAATTGGGGGATCTACTTTCCAGATCCTGCCGGGGGTCTAGGTTGCAGGCCTTCGAATTACAGACATTAGTTCAGGGGTAGGCCCCCTTTCAGCGGCGTGATTGCAGCCTTGCGTGCAGGGAGATCAGCATCACATGCGAAAGAGCTGACTGCGTGTCACCAAAGCTGAGGCAAAAAGTCCACTGTGAGAGCCTATAGGGTTCCGGGTTCCCTGAAGAGCTTAGGGGCTGAGTAGGTAACCTTTAACCTTTTGGGGCTTGTGCAATCCTACTGTCATTCAAAAGCTCAAACTTTGTTCAGCCCCAGGGGGGCTTATGCTTATGAGTGTCACAGGGCTACTGTGGAGGGCATTGGGTGAAGGTGCTCTACGGAATCCTTAACCCCAAATAACCTACCTTTTAATAAGACTGACAGAACGAAATCATATTAGGGAACCCTAAGAAGGTAGGTTGCTTGGGGTCCAGGATTTCACGTTCTGGAACTTGGGGGCAAACTCGCAACTATGGTTCAGCAGCTCTTTTGGGGGACAGCCAACACCGGGCTCACCTCTCTCCAAAGTTTCGAAAATGATCAGCGCTGCGGTCATGGTATATGGGAGTTTCCGAAAATTAGGGGTACCGTATTTTGGGCACCTTATAATAGGGATCCTACTAGTTAGGGTACCCTGTTAGAGTCCCTATTCGGAAACTCCCATATAGGTCGTGCAATACAGAAGCCGGAATCTTTGATGATACTCTTCCTGCGAATTCGCTGGTATACTGATTGTAGTCTACGAAAACCCATCAAATACGTCGTCGCTCGTCTCGTTATTAAGTTACTTAGTACGTGGTAGAGCCTTGATCCTAAAACCCTGCAAAGGAATCTTGTGCTGATTATTACCCTAAGGGTCCGTGTACTCATATAGTATATACATCGGCCTTAAAGTACTCCCTATATAGGTACATTGGGCCCAAAGTATATACTATATGGGTACATGGACCCTTAGGGTTAATTATGCCTCGAATATGACTGCCACATCGCCAAGTCCCCCCTAGGCTCTAAGCCAAAATCCCTAAACCCCAAACCTTAGACCCGAAACCCTAAAGCCCTAAGCCCCAAACCCTAAACCTTTAATTGAACCCTTAACCCTCTAGTATCCTAAACCCCAAACCTTAAACCCTAAACGCCTCACGCCTTACCCTAAGGGTCCATGTACCCAAATAGTATATACTTTGAGCCCAATGTACCTATATGGGGAACTACTTGTCGGCCAATGTATATACTATATGAGTACATGAACCCTCAGGGTTACACCCGAAACCCGGAAGGATCCTGAAGGAACTTCTGAGAGTCTCTCCGTTCGCGAGGAAGCCCTTCGGCTAGCGGCAGAGGCTCTCACAGTCTACAAGGACATCCTTACAGCCCGGTTTAGAGTTTGTAGGTTTAGGGTTGTAGGATTGTAGGGTGTAGGGTTTAGAGTTGAGGGTTTTGGGGTTGTAGGGTTTAGGGTTTTGGGGATCAAGGTTTGGGGTTTAAGGGGCTTGGGGGTTTAGGGTTTGGAGTTTAAGGTCTAGGGGTTTAGGGTTTAGGCTTATATGAGGAATTCATAGGAGCCTTGGAAAAGCATCATCACGATATCCTTAGAGGGCACTTATGGTTTCGGGCACTTAGGGTTACAGGGCTGTAGGGTTCTAGGGTGTAGGGTTTAGGGTTTTAGGGCTTCAGGTTTCAAAGTTTGGGGCTATAGCGCCTTCATAGTTCGAAGAGGGTACTCACACAGACACACTGTCTCTAAGTCTGCCCCTGTCATCCAGTGTGTGTGCGGGACAATACTATTGTAGAAGTGCGTCGGGATTACAGAGGGGATGCTATTGCTAATTATTTCGACCCGATGAATTCAAGTTTTCCGAGGCTTGGGTCTTAGGATTTGGGTTTTGGGGTTTATGGTAAAGGCTTGGGGCTATTCGGGTTTAGGGGGAGTAGGGCTTAGGGGGTTTTGGGGTTTAGGGCTTTGCGAATTTGCGGGTTTCAGGATTTGGGGTCTAGAGGGTTCGGGGTTTAGGTTTTGGGTTAGTCCCTCAACTCGAAGCCGAAACTGCAACAATCACGTACGAAGTCGGCAGGAACTCGAAATGTGGACCTGCCAGGAGCCCAGTCATCACGACCGCCCCCCTGCCCAGATCTTCCAAAATCATTTAATTGAGGAATTTATTGGGTCCTGCACCCACTCAGTAGCAGTTGAATATCATTCATAGTACAGAGAAGTCAGGTCCTTGACAGTAGCCCAATTATAGACTGTTACTGTATGGGGGCAGCACACAAGGTATATACCCTATAAATTATAGAAGGATCCCAAAGCTCTGTTCCTTAATGAAGGGATTTTGGAAGGTCTGGGCCAAATACCAAGGCTTAGAATCATTTCGTTGGATTGATTCATTGCAAGGGTCTTTCTAATGTTTAGGGTTTAGGGTTCAGGGTACCAAAGGCCTGTTTTGCAGCTCTCTGTTTCGGGTTAGGTGTAGGCTGCAAGGGCGCAAGTTGGCTCCCAGGCCTTGACGCAGGCTCTGACCTTACATTTCAATAACGTCAAATCGGTACGAAGAAGCAAATGCTTCGAGAGGCAAAAGTCAAGACTCGCACCTCCGACTTAAAGGATCATGGGACTTAGGAACTAGGGTTATAATTGGGGTAACTATACTTACTATACTTATAACCCCAATTACTTCTAACCTTACTTACTAAGTCCCATGATCCTCCAAGCAAGTCGTCCTCGAAAGCCGATGGAGAGCTACAAGGTCAACGCCAAGCTTTCCTCAGCCACCTACGACAAGCTCAGGCCGTCTTCCTCTCTTTTGGCCAACGGTTCCTAAGCTCAGAGATGAGATTCACAAAGTCTACGAGCAAGTCATGGGACTTCAGTCACGAATCGACGTTCTGAAAGAACAATGAGGAGTGGCGAAGAGGGATATTCGAGAGATTCACCGATTGGAGCAAAACCTTGAAGCCATGCTTTAGGGGTCGGCTCGGTATTTCTGCGTTGCATCCTCCATAGCCCCAAGAATACTCCTCTATAGCCCATAGCTGGAACAATGCACTCCGTAATCCGTTTTGCGGCTTCTGCTTAGCATCCCCTAGGCCCCACTCATACTCCCCATCTCCCTCTAAACCCTATATCCCTACAACCGATAATATTAACCTAAACCCTACATCTTCTATACAAGTCGAAAACACGAACCCTACGTAGCAACTCATAAGAGTGCCTTAATCAGGACTGCACATTTCTTTCTCGAAGAGTGCGGCGTGTGGGGTTCAGGGTGCACAGTTTAGCGGAGTTTGGCTTTAATTTTTTCTGAAACCAACACCGAACTTCGTACAAACTAGGGTTTCTACTAGGGCCTTTTTGGGTGCAGCACCTTTAGAATGTTGGTGCCCGGTGCCCCGTAAACCCTGAACCCTACAAGCAATAAAGCCTGAATTTCAGAATAGTCACCTCTCAGGAGGCCGAGGGTAGGAAAGAGACAGTTTTGTCGGATTCCTCTTCTTCCTACAAAGCATCCCTTCTCAGGGTTCTTTGCCATGTAAACCGTACACAAGTCTTTAGAAAGGTAGGTTTCGGGAGTTAAACGTACCCAGGGATGAGGGACCCCAAACCCTAAACCCTACATAATCCTCAAACCGCCAAACCCTCAACGCTGGAAAGCCCTCAATAGCTGAACCCAGCTGAGGCCACTGCTCGGTGGAGGTGAGCATGATGCGGCTCAGGATCCGTCCGGGTTTCCCAAACCGCCCAGAAGGATCTGGAAAGTAGAAGGCTGAAATTGGGACCTTAACTTAGGAACCGCTTTGAGGGATCTACTTTCGAGATCCTCCCCGGGGGTCAGCAGGTGTTTCAGGATTTAGGGAGACGAGGCTTCGGGGTTGGGGTTTGGGTCTTACGGTTTGAGTGTTTCGGGTTTGGGGCTTAGGGTTCGAGGCTTGTGTTTGGGGTTCATATTTTGTGACATAGGCTTTAAGGGTTTCTTTCCGGCTGAGGGTTGTATGGACAAAAACTTGGGTTTAGGGGCTGAGAGGGTCCGAGCAGTACTTCCATGCTCTCAGCCCGAATCTTTCGTTACAGCACTTCGAAGCACTGAAACTAAGGGTCCATGTACGCATATACTAGATACTTTGGCCTTAATGTAGTCCCTATGTAGGTACTTTGGGGCCCATGTATCTCTATATGGGTACATGGACCCTTAGGGTGAATTAACTGTGCTGCATGTTATGGAACACACTCGCCTTGCGAACTGACTGGTCCAAAATCTAAAGCTGGTTCGTCCGCGAAGAAACCAATGCCAAAGATCATTCATCTGCGAAGAACCCATGCAAAGCGAAGCAGTGCCAAAGCTTTAGTTGCCTGCCTGCAATCGTACATTGGACAATATCAATGCTGGTGATGATGGCGCAGAGTGATGCTCATCATTGCTGTTGACATGCTCAGCTTGGGATATTTAACGGGTACTAGACCCTAAACCCTAGATTATGCCCCCCCCCCCAATGCCAATACTTATAGACAGAAGCAGGACAACAAACTAAACCCTAAACTTTAAACACTAAACCTTAAACTCTAGACCTTAAACCCTAGCCCCTTAGCCCTAAACCTTAAACCCTTAAACCTAAACCCTAGACCCCTTATCCCTAAAGGCCCACAACCAATAACACCAAACTTCGGAGGTTAGAGAGCGAGAAGCCTAAAGAGGCCGGGGCGAGATGGAACTTGACATGCGGTCATCACGTTGATTATGAAAAGAGGGGCCTTAATACTTAGAATAGGGTTTGGGGGGTATATTACCTCGATCATAATATAGGGGCCTTATTAATTAGAATAGGGTTTTTTGGGGTGTATCATACTGTGGTTATAATCAGGAACCCCCCCAAATAGTT